CCATGTTTTTTTGTCTGGTTGAAAAACTCCAAAGTTGCAGAGGAATTTTCGATTTGGTTGTTTTTCACTCAAATCTAGTTATCACGAATAAGATCATGGGCTGTCGGATATATCATTTAGAAGCACTTTCAATCATAAATAGATATGTAAAACAAAAATTTTCTGAATGTTGTCTCTTGTTAGGGTGAGGGCGATTGTTAGTTGATTGAGGGCAAAATGGTATCCCAAAAATTGTGAGATAGTCATTTTATTAGTCGTTAATTGATCAAAAATTACGCTGAAAATATCAAGTTAAATGATGAGAAAATTACATCAAAAGAAGTCTCCTACAACAAAGTTTGGACGAAGCCTCAGTCCAACAAAGTTCTAGAAAGATAAAGTTTTCAAAAATTTGCGTAAAACGTTGAAATTTGTTTTTAGCCAAAGATTTTGATTTTTATGTAGCAAAATGACCTTTTTTGGCTATGAACCAAAGATATTTTCTCTTATACAGATTTTTGGCAGTTTTCACTTGGTAGTTTCAGGTAGCTTTTGATCAATTAAAAAGCCAAAATGACCCATTTTTGGGGTAAAATTTTGGATGAGAATTTCGGAGAAACAATGCACCATAATAATTTTGGTGAAATTCTTAGCAGCAATTTGAGAAAAAAGCGTTTGAAATTTAATACTTTCTTCGTTTTGTCCAAATAATTTAAATCAACACTGTGTTGCAAACGTGTTTTTCTTTGAAAAACGTTGTTGACAGGAATCGTCTCCTCCCAGCTGAATTCAGTAGCTCTTTCCCTGTTGAGCACACATGCTCATTAACAGCCATACTTTAACAAGTTCGGTTTCAAATATCTCCTCGATTCGAATTTTAATTTTTATCTTGGTTCTATATGTACCATTTCAGGTTCTGCAATTTTTTTCATGTTACAGGTATATTCGGCTGAAAGGCTGATGTTATATCCACTTAATTGTCTCATATTGCTTCGTTTTCATGGCAAAAGTGTATTTTCAGGAGAATAGAATTTAATTCAAAAAAATATTTTAATTACAATTTTTTAATTAGTTTTTTTTTCGGCTCAACAAGCTTCTAGCATAAAATTGTCGGCTCAGTTACCGCTTCTCATGGTTTTTTTGAAAACTTAATTACATTTTTTGAATTTTCAGTGACTTTTGTCATTTTTGTCAACTATTTGCCCTGCTATGTTTGCGATGTACCGCAAGTGGTGAGAAGCTCCGCTTCGCCTCTGTACTTAATTTCAATTTCTTTCTTTTTGTAATGATGGACAGAAATTGTGAGAACTGTTTTCAATTTGATTACAACACTAAAATAGAAATCAGATAAATGAAAAAAATGTAACAATAAAATAATTAATTTTAAGTGAGTTTATTTTTTTTCAAGGGTAGACTCACAGTGGGCATTGTTGACGCCCTTCGTCTGTCCTCTCTGTTTTTAGTAAATTCAATAAATTTCATTCATATTTAATATTGAATTATAATGAAGCATAATTAATTGTGTTTGCAAATTTATAGGAATAAATTCTTCTTCTTATTCTAGTGGTAATTATCATATCAAATTCTAATGTTCAAAGCAGAGATATTGTTTTCTATATCAGTTCATGTTTAAAAAACGATTCAAAGTTTAATCAGCGTTACCTATTTTTGTTCGCATTGAGCTGTTAGTGAAATCAGAACCGTTATTCAAAACCGTGAACTTATATTTCCGAATTATGCTGTTTTTTTTTTTCTGTGTTTCGCAATCGAAGCATCTAAATGAAGGCGTTTTGGGGTTGAGAATTCTGAGGGGTGAAAAAGTAGTGCGGTAAAATATCGTGGGGAAAATGTATGGTATAAAAAGAGATGGTGGCGAAAAAAAATTCCGGAGTTAGAAAATAGGACACCGTTTTTGATGACGAATAATTAAATGAATTATTGATCTGCATCTAAGAGATGCAAGCTTCTGAGTATATGTCACATAGCGGAAGTTTTCGTACAAAAAACTTGAAAATCCTCAACTTTGATTGCGTTTTGCGCAAATTGGGTAACAAGAATTGAGACTTAAACTACTCGTGGTTTTGCCAGAACCAGCAATGTATAGTTTGCTCGGCTAACTTTCGTCTCGAATTGAATTGAAAGAGATTGATTTTTTTTATTTTTTGGGCTTTCATTGAAAAATTTTGCGAAGTTGACGGAATCGATTTTTAATTCAATATCATTCAAATGAGCTTTTTTTATCTATGCCAATCTATTTCTATTTAAGAAGTATTCATCTCTAATCATACGAATGAAAGTGAGATTACTGCAGTATTTTGACTCCAATAAAACAAAATTGATCAGGTTGATTATGCTGTGCAGTTGAGAAGTCGTTTGTTCTAATGATTGATTCGGTATGGCGGTGAACTCAAAAGTCTAAACTCCAGAAAACCAAGCAATCACTGAATCTGTAATTCAGTGATTTGCAATTGCTCGACTTACCTTTTTACTCTTGATTGAAAAGATAGAAAATTTGATCAAACGTGTAGAAGAAACCCGTTCGGTGAACTCATTGTAAATGTGAAGCTATTGATACCCGTTCGAGTATTTATACGCAATGTACCTGATTGTCACTCAATAAAACTGTACAAAACATTTAGGAATACTAGGCTACCAGCTTGGTGTCATAGGAGGCTAATACGGCATCAGTTACGCCTGCACTAAGGGTGATTACTTCAAAAGCAGTCGTAACCTTTCTAGTACCCCCCCCCCTTTCCACGCACATATGTATATTTTAATCTGAAAACCAATAAAACTGCCTAAACTTAAACGAACTATATTTCGTCAACCAGATTTGGGCTCTAAAAGGCGCATTCAAATTGTGCAGTGATTTTTCTAGTGGTCTTTACTGGATTTAGTTTTTACTGCGAGTTTTTTTGTCTCAATGCTACGCAATTCGCGTAAAACGAAATCCAAGTTTAATATCCCTATATCGTCTCCTTCTAAAAATACGTTTGCTAAATAACTGAATTGACACAAAACAACCATGGTTGACTGAGATGCCATTCCCTTTATTGGCTATTAAACTTGAGATAGCAAGTGTAGTGCAACCGGGTACTAGACTTTTCCCCCGTGAACAACTTTGTCCACAGGACTCACTTCTGGACTCCTTCACAAATCCTTTTTGCAAATCCTCTTCAAAGCTCGTGCGTTTTATTGTGTTCACGTGCGTTCTTTCAGCGGTTTAGGTTCAAGGGTCTACTTCGGTCGTTCAACGGTCTATTTGCAAAATTTAATGTCCCTTCTTAGAACTTTTTACACTTTTTTTCCCGTAAAAACTTATTTCACAGAATGGTCAGAAATAAAGTTCATAATGAATTCAATTTTTTTTGCGTCTCTGGCGCACTTGGTCTGATGGTTACAAATGCGCCTGAGACGGCAAATGTTTTTTTTTGTGAAAAAAAAACAAACGGGAAATAATCCGTTTCAATAACAAATTTTCGGCTTATTGTCTGCTTATGTTTTGTTTGCTTAGTTGCCTTAATGTTGAATAGTTTTTTTTAACTTTTTTTTCATTATACTTGCTTTTATTGTTTTGGTTTATACTGTTTGTAATTTTTGTAACCCTGATTTAGTATATGTTTTTTTTCTTTTTTTTTCCGCTTAAAAACTTTATTCGGACCAAATGATTTAAATGCTAAAATTTTTAATTGAAATTATAGTTCAAGTTTATCATGACAACAATTTTTGCTCGTTTTTTTCTCATTTTGTTTTGGCTGGATAGTTTCAGCATATTTTATATCGGCTTATGGGCCTCATATTGTTTCATTTGACGAGTAAATGAAGTTTTTTTAAAGTATTTTGAGGGGGATTTATTAATTTTTCAAAACTTGATTTTCTTGCTTTTCTTGATTTTTTTCGGCTTAAGGGTTTCTTAAAAGATATTTTCGGCTCTGTTACCGCTGGGAAAATTATCTTCTGATGCCTATTTCACATTCTATTTTCTTGGCATGATTTTTTGAGCTAGTTTTTTTGACATTTTCGGTTTCTTATCGATTTTTTCTTGTGTTTTATATCAAGTGGTGCGAAGCTTTTTTTTCTTGTGTTGTATATCAAGTGGTGTTAGAAGTTGCAGCCAATTCATATGCGGGAAAAGTTCAAATTAAATCAGTTTCTGAAACAAAATTGTCGTTTTTTTCGATTAATCCATCTTTGTCTAAAAATGCTCGTTTTGTTCAAATTCTTACAAAAACGTTATTTGACAGATTGTGCAGTGATATTCTCTGCAGACTTAATTCAAAAACCACTGCATGTTATTTACATTTTCGAAATTTCTTGCGAACATTTCATTGATTCTGAGTTGTTTTTTCATTATCGTTGTTCTGTTTTGTTTGAGAATCTCAAATTCAATCTTTTGAAATCAATTCTGGGTATTGAGAACCCTGGTTTCTGTTTCGAAAACAAGCAAAATTCTGCCTCACTTTTGTTTGATTTTTTGGAAAGTTATTTGTGCAGTTTCTATGTGATTCTCTACATGAGAAACAACATAAAGTTGGTACTTTTTGAATGTGAACTGTTTCAGTTTTATCTGTCTTTCACTTTACAAATTTTTGATTGATTTATGGATTTTTTAAATGTTTTTTTTTGATAAAAAAATGATTTGATTTTTCAATTTTTTTTTCAAAATCAAATAGTTGAAACGACTGTTTCCGCTCACTTAGAGCTGGATAAACGACAGACCTGGAAATTTCTTCATATGTCTACGGGTAATAATGTTTCAAGTAAGTTAACTGAAATATTTTTAGTTATTTTTTGCTTGATTTTTTCGACTATTGTTCTTTTTCAATTTAGGGAATATTTTGTAGTTGCCTTACTTTTTGAAACTTTGGATTATACTGCATTTTTTTTCGTTGGATCAGTCTTTTATCTGCTTGATAAGTCGCCCCTGTGTTGATTTTTCCCAAACCACCGAATACATGATTGAAGTCCAGTTCAAAACCAATTTAGTGTTGCTTGATAATTGCAATCTGCATTTCAGACGTTTTGTTGATCCTTAAATCAAGAATCAGGAATGTGAGGCTTTCTATCATCAGCCACCACCGCCGATATACTTACTCATCAGTGCATAATTATGCAATCAGATTGAAAGGGGGATGCCTTTTCTGTCTGCCTCGTTCTCGTACGACCAGAGACCTCTGAAGAAACATGGTGGGTCGAAAGTGGCAATCGACAAGCCAGATGTCTACCCTCAGCAGCCCAATCAAAAGGAGGTGAGTGCCTTTTGTTTTTTTTTATTCATAGTCTATAAGTTCTTTTAGACTTGATGTTGCGCGGTATACTGGTAGTTAATTCTTAAGAAAAAGAAATATACCGAAAAAGTTTTTTTTTTCGGAAAAAGTAGAATGTTTGAAATTGGGCGCAAAATGTCTTAAGTTTAGTGACAAATGTTTAAACACTAGGAGAGGGACCACCATACGGGCTGTTCAGTTCTTTCTAGATAAACTTTGTTGTGTCCGTGCTTGAAAATCACCAGCAACTTTTTGGTTACTCTGGGCTGAGAATTGTTTTCTCCCCGCAACCAAACAGCACTGATCATGGTTAGCCTCAAACAACCGTCCTTTATAGGGAGGCGGAGACCTCAGCTTGTTACACATTGCTCACTGGGGGTTTTAACACTGATTGCATTTATAATTTGTTATAAATAAGTCTAATATGGATAAAGCTGGTAGCTGAAATCGCAATTTTAAATCGAAGAATGAAGAAAAATCTAATTAAACTAGTTCCGTGTGCGTGAATCTGACCCAGACTTAATGATATGTTTAGGACCACTTCTACAGCCATGTCAAGATGGGTTTCCAAAATCCGCCACTGGACGATGAGCATAAACAGGCGAATAAGAAGGCCATCCTCGCCAATAGGGAGAATGTAATTTGATAAATTGATATCGTTTTTTTTTTGCGCACCAACTTGCGCGGTCTGCTTTAGCAGTCGCTAATTTCTGCATGTCTTTTTTCGCTAATTAACGCAGATCAAACCAAAATTGATGCACTTCTCTACTCAATGGACGAAAAAATTCCTTAAAATTTGAAGTGCAATTTGTTGGCTTTTTGTGGCGTTTTCGCAATTTATATTTTTCTTGTCAGATTCTGAAGAGCATTTTGGAGGTGAAGCAGAAGCGAGATGAGCACAACAATACTGGGGCTTCAAATGACTCCCGCAAGAAGTTCCTGCTCAACAAGGATCGATTCTGGCCGGTGTGTTGCCTTCATTTTTTATTACACTGACAAATAAGTTGTACAAACCAGTGTCTTTCAAAGTACGCAATTTAGGTTTACTAAAGATAAAAACAAAAATGGGAGCCTTTTGGCAAGCCACTAAGTGTCCATGAAACCCGATGTATTGGCTGCTTATTTTCTGTAACTGTGGGTTTTAATGTTCCGACCATTAGTGGCGATTCGAAGTAAAAATTGTCACAAAATTGTCCCAGTGGCGAGAAAAAAACCGGTTTGATTTTTAATTAATTCTGTCCTAATTTCGAATGAGTAGAGCGATCGGAAAATTAACGGTCGTTATAAAAGTTGGGTCATTTAGGCTGAAATCTTTTGATTTTACTAGACGAACTAGCTTTGAAGGCTTAGTTTGACTCTTCCTTGGCAATTAGAGTTTTCATTAAAATATTGAAAAATTTTCTACTTCTTTGTTGTTGATCATATTGATCAAGATAAATGTTGTTGATCATACTCAACTTACTAACTTAATACGCGTTGGTATAGTCCATTCATCACTCCACGCACAAGAAATGACACTAATTCTAAGCAATAAGAAAAACGTTTTAGTTTTGTAATTTTTAACTTGCGAGAGCTGATGTCTTGTAATAGGGATTTAGACTGTTTCCCTTTAACAATATTGCTTGCAATAAATTGAACTTGCTTTATTGATGAATTTTTCGCTTCTTAATGACCCTGGCGATAAGCAAGGTATTGACATCGGGTACTAGACATTTCCCCCGTAAATTATGTTGTTCACAAGACTCGAACTCATTCATCTGCTAGGCCTTTCTGTTGCAACAGACTTATTTTGAGCAAGTTAGAACTTTAAATATCAGGCTAAATCGAAATTTCTTTTTATGTTGTAAGTTCACCAACTCGATTGGTTTTTTTCTTTCATTTTTTGTGTTTTGTGAGCTTAATAGGTTTTGGCTTATTTTATATCGCATTATTGACCTCTTTTCGCGTAGTATGAGGACAAAAAAAATGTGTGTTCTAGGGGGAAAGGGACCTAAAAAGGGAAAGTTTTTTCTGCATAAAGGATTTCTGCTCAGGGTTTTCGGCTCTGCTGCCGCTTGGTAATTACTTATTCAAATGCAATCAACTATTCGTCGCAGGAGGCGTAGAGGTAACGCACCTGCCTAAGACAACAAAAGCTGGTGGTTCAAGTTTTTGTACTTTTTCGGATTTAAAACCGTCTGTTTTTTTGTCGGCTTAATTCCTGTAGCCCGACTTTGTTTGAAGCTTCAGCTTTCTTCCAAGTTGCTGCAACACCCATGCTTGAGGCGAAAAAGTTCGATTCCAGTCGATACCTGTCTTTTTTCGCAAATTGAAAATTTTCAGATAGTTTAGATTATTTTCTCAATGCAAAGTTTTGCCGGCTTAGTTCCGAAGAAAGAAGTTTAATGAAAATTTGGTTGATTTCTGGCCTTCTGAAACTAAAGTGTCTAATGTTGCAGGTTATTTTTTCCGGATGTCTTGGCCTTCTGTATGTTTTCTTTACATTTTTTGGGTTCTTCTCAATTGATTTCATTTATAGTGAATCATATTTGAATCGGAAGTGGCGCGAAACTCGGCTTCGCCTCTGTGTTTAAAGTTCAATTTTCTTGCTTGGCGCGTTATCCGAAATTCCTTGGTTAAAAAACAGGTATTATTAAATTTTATGGGATTGGGTTTTTCATTTGTTTTGTGACTTTTTTATGACGCTTTTAAAAAATATTCTACCTATTTTCCAAAAAAAAATGGTATCTATGGAAATGCTGTCTACTCCACTGTGTGCGTGCATAAGCCCCAATTGTCTGTTTACTTTACCCCAATATCTACAGTCTTCGAAAAAGTTATGACCCTTGAAATTGTAAGTGAATAAGCAGCTCTTCTGAAGAAGTGGCTACGCCCAATTTTTTTTTATTAAAAGCTATGATTCCCCGAAATCAATTTTTTGATTTGTTGGCTGTTTTTGAATTTTTTTGACTTTTTTGATAGCTATCCTGTCAAATTTGTTATCAAAGGTTTAATTGAAACAACTGTTTGTTAAATTTCTACCGGCATAAGTGACTACGCTCAGTTTCCTTTTGAAAAATAATGGCCTTCTAAAAGTCAAAGTTTTGAAATTTCGACCGTTTTTTGGATTTTTATTTACTTTCTCGAAACTTACCCTGCCAATTCTTAGGTTAAGAGTTCAATCGAGATGCCCAGTTTTGCAATTTTTCTCTGCTAAAGCGGATTTTTGAACTTTCGAACCTTTTGAATTTTCTTAAAAACTGCCCTATCAAATCTGAGACGAAGGCTTCTATCGAAAGAACAGTTTGCGAGAATTTTTTCCGCAGAAGCAACGACTCCTTAATTTTTTCATTTTCTCCATTTTCTCAAAATTTTTTAGTACAGAAACAACAGAGTTTTTGGGCAAAAACCAATTTTTTAATTTTTCAAAGTACCCATTCAAAAATATCAAACAATCAAGTTCAGCTTTAGCTGACCCTATTTATTTTTTATCGAAGGATGGGAAGTTTTTGGTTCACCTAGTTTTTTTTTCAACATTTTCATTTTTTTTGCTTTGTTTTTTGTGTTGTATCGCATGTGGTGCAATGATCCGCTTTGTCCGTGTATGAATATGGTTGGAGCAGTCTGTGGTACTTGCCCAGCTTCCGGTAATCCTTGTTTTCTTCGGTATTAATCTGTTCAGAATTAACAATTTTCAAAAAACATTTTTCCAAAAATATTAGTGTGCTGCAAATATTGTGTGTGCTTTTTTAATGTAGTACCACTACCGTGTGAAGCCCCAGCTCACCAGTTGGATGAACGACTTGTCCTCGCCCACCAAAGACTTGTTTCACCTAGGCAAACGCATCCCCTCATTCCAAAGGAAAGAAGAGCTCCTCTTCGCTTTGGCTGAGCACAAGGTGCCAATGGTCAGAGCTATCTGGACCATCAAGCTAGATGCACATCATAAGTCATCACAGAAAGAGGAGATTTCAAAAAAGAAATCGAGAGGCGAGTTCATATGGTCAGCTTTGATTTTCTTTAACTACAGGATTGGACTGTTGTTAATTTATTGCGGAAATATCCGATCATATCTTTTTTTGTTTTCGTAATTGTGCTCTTTTTCTTGAAACCTTTTCTTGTGTTAGAGCATTTCATGTTTCGTCCAACTTAAAGCTACTTTTCATATTATGGATATACTTTAAGAACGTCCTTTATGGCAACTTTTCCAGGCGGCAGTCAAGGTCCAGACATCGGCAATGATTGGACACATGCTGTGTGTCTTTTCATGTCAAATCTCTACAAGAGGATGCTGGACCACGAGCTGAAAGTGAACCTTCTTGAAAGAGATGAAAACTACCACCAGCAGAGCTCATTTTGGACCTACACCACTCGTCTTGTGAAATGCATGTTTGAAGAGGGATTGTTGGACAAACACGAGTTCCTGCTGTGGCTCCTGCAGGCCATACAATGTGAACTGAAACCGCCGGATGACCCATTCAACAAGATCTTCATACCGCTGATTTATGGTGTAAGTTAAGCTGTTGTCGATAAGCGATGAGTGAAAACTTAGGTTGCCTCTTCATAGTTTACAGGGTACACTAAAATGTCAGAATCTCTTTGTGACCGGCAATCAGTTTGTTTTCGAAATGGGTTAAACTCGAATGTATTAAATTAATTTTAATTCTAAGCCAACAACTTGCATTAAGTTCGATCTTGAAATCTTTGAGGAAATTTCTTTAGGCTGAAGTTTTCTAAATAATTTCAATTGTAAATGATGTTTAAGTATTTGGACGAGATAGTGCAGAGTGAGCCTTTGAGTAGACGTCTGGCCTTCTTCTGTACACGCAATCTCACCCTCATGTACGAGAACAGTCTAGAAGCTGCAGTATTGTCCTCACTCTCACCAAACACAGCCGCACTCAACCCAGAGTAAGTAGCGTCTAAGTTATTCCGTTGTTAGGAAATAAGGATGATCCTGGGAGCAGGAAAAGAATATAAAGTATAACATTCTGATCATCCTAGAATTTACTTAGACTCTTAAGTATAATGTGTACTGAGAAACACCATCGCAGACGCGAGCAGCCCCTAAAAATCATTGACAATAAACTCAATTTCAAATATATTTACCCTTGCGATAGCAAGGGTATTGCAATCTGGTACTAGACTTTTTTCCCGTAAGCAACTTTGTCCAAAGGACTCACTTCTGGATTCCTTCACTAACCTCTGCAAATCCTCTTTTCTTCATTCTCTTTGCAAATCCTACTTCTGTCGGCTGCAAATATCAAGCATGGCTGTGTTTGTTATTTTAATTATCCGTCCTTTTTAAAATTTTATGTTGGTTGTGATTTTTTCTTACTCGATTTGTTAAAGTTTTATTTTTTGTCTTTTTTTCCGCTTAATAGGCTCGAGCCTATTTTATGTCGGCTTAGTGGCCTAATTTCGAGTGGTTTCAAGAAAAACATAGTTTTCACGTTATCCTCTGGCCTATATTATATTGGTTTAATGGCAGCATATTGCGCCTTTAGACGGGCGAAAAAAATGTGTGTGAGTGTGTGTTTTGAGGGTGAGGGGTACTTAATAACTTCTTATTAATTGTTTTGTATTTTTTCTTTTTTTTTCGGCTTGATAGGTTTTGGCTTATATTAGATTGGATTAGTCGCTACATTTTACGTCGTCGTCTCACGAGCTGTGTATGTGTTTTGAGGGTGAGGGAGACTTCATAATTCTCAAGAAGTCTTAATTCTGTTTTTCGGCGTTGTTTTTTTTAATTTCTTTTTTTTCGACTTGATAGGTTTCGGCCAATATAATATCGGCATAGTGCCCCATATTGTTTCATTTGACGTGTGAATAGAATTTTGAAAGTGTTCATTTTGACCAAAAGACCAGCTAATAAATACAGCCAATGATAAGGATGTTAACACAGACTATTATTGTTCCGGCTTTCATAACGGAATATTTGTGCTCGGGGTGTTTTTTTTCAGAAAAATTTTGACTTTTTATTAAGCCATTTATGACGTAATTTTTTATATCATTCAAAATTTATTGTTGTCCTGAGCTTAAATTTTGAAAAATATTTTACCGGTGATCATTTTTTGGAAAGTTATGGGGGTTTAAAATTTGCCAATTTGGGACAATTAACGCGCGATATTTTTCGCGCTATTAACGCGTTAGCGGAGATTTAATCCGTCATAGAAATCGCTCCAAATCGGTTGGAGGAAGTTTTTCTTTGCCATAATTGATTTGTTACTAGGAGCGAAATTTATCACTTTGTACTTAATATGGCGTGTGGGGGATGATTTTCACAAAAATCCAAATTTAAAAAAAATTTCATTTGGTGTTTTTTTTTACATTTAGTTTTTTCATGTTATTACTTATCCATAGGCTGCTGTATAAAATGAGGCATGCTAGTTGGTTTTTTTTCAAATTGACTGGTTTTGCTTATGCGTCATAATTGGCGTGTTCACTTAAGAAATTTTGTAGACTCAAAATTTTACTCATTCAGTTTTTCCCAGTAGCGTTGTCGGTCGTATTTTTGCTTGTAGATGGGAAGTGAAACTTCGCCTCTTTGTTCAAACTTTGCCTTATCGATCGAACTAATTCAAAATTTTCAATTTTTTCGACTTAGCGGCTCTCGTGTTTTGTATCTCAAGTGGTGCGAAGCTCAGCTTGGCCTCTGTGTAATAAGTTAATTTGGTAATGTTTTAGCTTTACTTTTGCCCTGTTGGTCCTCCTAGGTCCGCTGTAATCATGTACTCCATTGATTTAGTTCTATGAATTGGTACAAAATGATTTAGTTTTGTAATGCCTACATGATAATAAGTAAATATTCCTTTGGCTATTATGTTTCCAGTGATTTGCCTTTGTTGCTTTTTCCTATACCTTGTCAATCCATGGTTATTCGCTTTATTTAATTTCATTAAAATCATTTCCTTGCTGTTATGTAGACGATCGTTTCTTTTTGAACATGCGGAGCGTGGTGTCATTTTACGGTATCACCGTTTTTCCAACCTCAATCACAATCAAATGTGCTCATTTTTCGGTGGTACTTTTGCATTTTTTGAATCTGGTCAACTTTTGATGCATAACATTCTTAGTCTCTGCCATCAGCAAGGGTATTGCAATCAGGTACTAGACTTTTTTCCCTTAAATTACTTTGTTCACAGAATGTTCAAAATTAGAATTGGTAAATTTTGAATCAGTTCTTTTTGAATTCAAGTTTCTTTACGTCTCCAGCACTCTTGTTGTGGAGGCAACAAATACACCTGGGACCACAAAGGTTCTGGTTTTGAGTCTGACCGACTAGTTTTTTTTCAAGCGTGAAAGATTCCGTTTCAAAATTGTCGGCTTATTGTTAATCTGCATAGGTTTTGTCGGCTTAGTTGCCACATCAGAGAATTGCTTTTTTTGTGTAATTTTTTTTAACATTGTAGTTGGTTTTATAGTGTTTTGATTACACTAGCGTCAGCAAATAAAGTTTCTTGATTTTATAGTGTTTTGATTACACTAACCTTCTTTTTTTCTAACCTAGCTCGCAAATAAAAGTGTTCATTAAAAGTGTTCACTTATTTGGAAATTTTACTGAAGCATTGGAAATTGCATAGCATCTGTTCTCTGCTTTTTTTGTGACTAGTGTTCGGCTTTTACCTATTGAACTTCTGTGGTTAAGTGGTTAGGGTGTGACACTCTGAATCTGTAGGTCGCAGGTTCGAATTTCAGACGTAGCCGAATTTTTTTTTTTTTAGTAATTCGAGGCTTTTTCTACGTTTTCTTTGTGCTTTTTATAAAGCTGCTTTTTTGTCGTGTTCTCGCTAATGTCTGCGAATTGAAGCTTCTGCTCTGCTCTGTGTTTACTTTTGATGTTTGTAATTTTAGTAACCTTGACTTCGAATGTTTTTTTTTCGCTTTAAAATTTTTTCGGCGCAAATGAATGATTTCGGCTTATATTGTATCAGCTTAGTGGGCTAATTTTGATTAGTTTCAAGGGAAACATAATTTGTGTGCTCTCCTTTGGATCCAACAGAATTTTTAGATTTAAATTGATTTTTTTGTCGGCTTAAAAACTTCGGCCCAATTTTTGTCGGCTTGCTCGCCGGATGTTTGACTTCTATAGTTTTTATCGCCGATTTTTTAAGTTTTTTTTCATTTTCAAGAGGGTTTATTATAGTTCATGATTTCCTGGTTTTTGGATTTTGTTTTATTTTTGTATTTGGTTAAAGATTGAGAATTATTATTGGAAAGCGATTCAATTGATGGCATAGCGTATTGTTCTCATCTAAAAACTTTTTTAATATAAGTCATGAATTTCTTAACTTTTTTGCCATTTTGGCTTGTTTGTCTACGAAAATGAATGGCAAGTGTCGCACTCGTGCTTGTTTTTTTCCTTTACAGGCGTTTTGTCTTTTCATATCATTTTTTGTCTTATTCCATCTCTCTAAACTTTGCGTATCAAATTCATATTTGATGAGTTTATTGTGATTGGGTTATTTTGATTACATTTGTTCAGATTTGAAGAATGTTTTTTTTTGCGGAAATTGTTTGAAACTTGAGCATTCCTTTTTTCAGTTTTTTTTTCATTTTGATCTGTTTAAAGCAAATATTTCTCGTGATGTTTATAAACGATTGTTCCTGTAGGATGTGCAGGTTCGTTAGCTGCTAGTTTTCAAGCAACGTTTTGGCTAGCATTAAGGAAATTTTTTATCTCTAGTGTTTGACCAAAACTTTTTTCTGAGCGTTTCGGTATATTGGTTATGAGAATCAACTGAGTGGAGATTGTGTAGCCCGAATCCTTCTTTTGTTATAGGTAATTCATTTTTATAATAATTTCTAGAATTTTTTCTTAATTCTTTTTGGCCGACGATTATTTCAGCTGAATTTATTCAAGTTTATTATTTTCGATTTTTGGCATTTTCTTTTGTATCGCAAGTGGTGCGAAGCGCAGCTTCGCTTCTGTGTATTTTTGTATCTGGTTTTTGGTGGCTGGTTCATGATTGATAGAAAACGGGTTTAATGAAAATGTATGGGATTTCGGCTTTAATAATTAGTTTTTCAGACGCTTATGTCAGTTTGTACACTTTTCGCAAACTGTTCTACTTTTTTCGAGGATTACTTACCGATTTTCAACAAAGTGTTTACATTGGAGAAACTTGTTAACTGTGTGCCTGAAAGTTCCGCTAGTCTCTTTTTACTACACTGGATATTTTATTTTTTCGAAATTTCCAGTTGGGGGAGTTTTCGACCCATTTTTTTGGATTTATTTCATTTTCTCGAAAATTTTTATGACAAATCTGAGATTAACAGTTCAGATTTAAGAGCGTGTTTTTGCACTTGGAAAAAGAGTATTATTTTCAAAAATTTAGTCTGTTTTTCGGAGAAGTTTGCCAAAACTACTCTGCCAAACCTGAGATAAAGGGATCAGTAGAAAAAACAGGAGAAGTTTCTTGGCATAGTGTCTATGTCCTAGTTTTTGCAGAAAAGCTATGCTAAAATCAGAAAAATCTTTCTTTCGAAATCTCGACCATTTTTGGACGTTTTTTGACTTATCTCGGGAATGAAGTTACCAAATCTAATGGTAAGGTTTCAATCGAAAGAATTTGCACTGGGAAATTTCTCTCTGTATTGGCTACGCCCTAACTTTTGTGGAAAAGCAAAGTAAGACTCAACAATTTTTGTTCGTTTGGATTTTTCAAAATTTTCTCTTCTGCCAAATCTGATATTAAGGGGTCAATCGGACGAACAAAATGTAAAGATATTACCTGCATAAGCAAATTTTGTGAGGAATCCAGTATAGACTCAAGAAATGTTTGACCTTTGGACTTCGTTCAATTTCCCAATTTCTAAAAAAGAAATCAATCAAACGAGATAAAATACTCTTGCAAAAGTATTTTCTCCCTACTTTCAACAAAATTCAGCTATGGACTTTGTAAATGTTCAATTTTGACATTTTAAAAAATACCCATAACCTTTTGCATCAGTTGCGTAATATAAGATATTTTTCATTAGTTTTAACTTTTATTATTTCCGTTTTTAATTTTTGACCCTTTTAGAGCTACTTTTCTCGCTTGTTTGCAAAGTGGAATTTTAAATCTGTGTGAAAAATATGATTTAGAAAAAACAATCATTAAAAGTACGTCGTTTAGTTATTTAAGGAACAGAGACTCTAGATCTCGTTCAATTCTTTCTTGAGGCAATGTTAGAGAAAACGCAGACGAGGTGAACAAATTCCCCCTCAAATTGATTTAGAGGGAACTATTTTGTGATTTTGAATGAAAGTTGGAATTTTAGGCCAATCAGAATTAAGAGTTTTACACGTAGCGCTTCAATCTATTATATATTTAAATGCGGGCTTCACTATCTCGCCATGATTAAGCTTGTTCAACGTATTACTTTTGCATGTTTAACGAAAGAATTTTTGCACGTTTAAGCTAAATCGTATATTGCAATGCTTAAGATTTTTTAATTTTCCAGTTCGATTTCAGTTGAATTTTCAAAACAAGTTCGCAAGTAGCAACCCAATAGTGTGATGCTTTCAAGCTGTCCAGGGGTTGCGAATTTGGCCTCCAAATCCTTTTAGTGTACGAGATACGACAATTGAAATTCCCAACCCTGTAATTGAGTGCTGTCAGAGTACTCTCAAGGATTGGGAATCTTGCCTCCAAATATGACTGCTCAAATCCTTGTAGTTTTCGAGGTGTTTTATGGCGTGTTTTATGATTTAAAAAAAAAATTCAGAAAAATTAGATTTAATAAAATTTAAAAGAATGGAAATTTCCAACCTTGTAGTTGGGCACTGTAATGGTACTCTCAGGAGTTCCAAATTACAAATCTTGCGTTCGAATGTGACTGCTCAAATGCTCTTAGCTTCCGAGATGTCATTTTTGTTGTCATTTTTTTTAAAAAAATAACATAAGTTTTCTGTAAATTTTGTGAAAAAATCACAAAAAATGCAATATCTCAAAAACTACAAAGATTTGAGCATCTTTGTAGTTTTCGAGATATTACGTTTTTTTTTGATTTTTTCACAAAATTCTCAGAAAACTTATACTAGTTTTTTAATTTGAAATTCCTCAGCCTGTAGTTGGGGGCTGTCAGGGAACTTTCAGGGGTTGCCAGTCTTGCCTCCAAATACGACTGCTCAAATCTTGGTATTTTTTGAGATATGACGTTTTTTATTGTTTTTCAAAAAATTTCAGAAAACTTGAATTTAATTTTTTTTCTTCAAAATTTGAAATTATTAACCCTGCGCTGGGGGCTGTCAGGGTACTCTCAGGGGTTGCCAGTCTTGCCTCAAAATATGACTACTCAAACCTGGGTAGTTTCCGAGATATATCGTTTTTTCTGGTTTTTAAAAAAAGGTTTTCTAGAAAACTTAAGTTTGAAGTAAGTCAAAATTTGAAATTCACAACACTTTAGTTAGGTACAGTAAGACTACTCTCAGGAGTTGCAAATTTTGCGTCCAAATGCGACTGCTCCATTGCTATTAGTTTCCGAGATGTGACGTTTAATAATTCATCTCAAATTTTTTGAAAGAACATAGTTAAAGAAGCAGATTTTATTTCCAATATATCCGGTTTTTGTGAGGTGTTAAAAATTCGAAGCACCCGAGGTGCGTTACACGCTAGTCCAATTTAAATAGAGGGTACGGCAATTTTAACCCCAGAAGTGTTTCGAGTTGTGAAGCTGTAGATCTTTTTACGAAAAAATGGGTGCATATTTATGTATATAGCGCCCGTTGGCTGCAACAACAACAGATGCACATCATGTCCTCCTTGAGTCATAGGAATGTGTGGGAGGACTACCTGCAGTGTGGCCACCACAAGGCCATGATGATGAGTCTCTCCTGCGCACTCCATCTCATCACCCTTTGCTGTCCATCCGCTCTCATATGGGTTGTTCCCAGGTCACAGGTCAGCCACATGTTCATTCTGATTTTTTGAAAAAGATATGAAAATTCTGGTCATTCAATGGTTAACAGAATCCAAATATCTGAAATTTGTCTTCGAAAGGTTGGAAAGATAAAATAGATGTTGCTTTGTAAAACAATCTCTCAGTGGCGGCAAATAGTGGTTTAAAATTGTCACTGGTCGTGTTAGAATGGGTTCAGAAGGAGTGAAAGTAGTGTTCTAACACGGTATATATCTTATCGAGTTTTTTCTAATGTTTGATTCACTCATTTTGATTTTCGTCGGCTCTTTTAATAAATCTGCCTAATACAAGGGATATTAGTTTTTAGGTACAATATTTGAGTGTGTTTATTTAACCATTGAATCTTCACCGAGGAATAATTAAGGGAGATCTTCTCAGTCAAAACTAGAGCCTTGTTGCAAGTTCAAGTTTTGTGTGTAGGTGGAGTTGTTGTCTCCGCCTTTGCCTCAAACGAGTGAAGATGGGACAGAGCAGTTACCTCTACAGATAGACGAAGGCTCTCCATTGGACAACCTCGCTGTGTCACCTAGTAGGCTTAACAGAATAATTCCTGAAAATGCCAAAGTTTTTGCCTCTCCTATGTAAAACAAATCTTTTAAATCAGAAAGGTTTTTAAAATAGGTAACTGTATTAAACATCGTCACATATACGGTAGAAGCTGTGAAAAATTCGACTTATATACAGTAGTAGTGTGCACGGCATAAGCTGTAAAAAAAGACGACCTATAGGTTGAAAAAGAACTGGGGTTCATCGGTGAGTTTTTGAGGATTTGCCAAACCGCTTTTTAGCCTTTCAGGGTTTTTTCAATACGATTGAAAAATAAATGGTTTTTGTGTTTCCAGGCGATCTCCCACTTCCCTTCTCTGAGCAAGATGGGCCGGACATCAGTGCGGACGTTAAGGATCAGTTAGTATATGCGGAGGAACTAATTCGGAACAGGAGCATGGCTATAGAACAGAGATGGTCTTCTGCCAAGTACCAGGAGTCGTCTTTTGGTGAGATTTTGTGAGCTTTTTAAGAAAAATGTTAACCAAACTGAACAAGCATTTGAATTGTATCTCACAGACAGTTAACAATTAAATGAGTTTTTCATAATTTTTATTCAAAAAAAAAAAACAAAAGAAAATGCCAATTATCTAGCTTCTCCAATATCCGTTTGTGATTAGAAGAAGAAGAAGAATTTATTTCTCCATATAGTTGATAATACAAGCATCAATTTATTTAAATTATTAAATCAACAAAATGAAGGGGATAGACAAAAGGCGCAGTATGTTCCTACTTGACGTCTACCCGTTGAACAAATTAGGATTGCAACTAAGTAATAAAGATAAATTTATATTCGAATAAAAATAGGATTGTGGGGAAAAATTTATTTTGCCCTAAAATTAAGCCCTCATTAAGGAATAGTTATTACATCTAGTCCTGTCATTTCGGTCAATTCTTATTCCAGCTGATGAACTAAGAATATGAGAAAACATTTAAAAAAATCTAAGTTTTTTCATTTTTTTAAAAAATTTTCTAAAAAATGCAATTTCTCGAAAACTACAAAGATTTGGAGGGTCATATTTTCAGCATAGAATCGCAAACCTAGAATGGTTGTTTGATAGCATTTAGCCAGCGGGTACCATTTAAAAAAAATCTAAGTTTTTTCTTTTTTTTTAAAAAATTTTCTACAAAATGCGATTTCTCGAAAACTACAAGGATTTGGAGGGTCATATTTTCAACATAGAATCGCAACCCTAGAATGGTTGTTTGATAGCATTTAGCCAGCGGGTACCATTTTTTAAAAATAAAAAAATCAAAGAAATATATTTTGCACCAACTCGTAATTGCCACAAATGAAATTATCTTTAAACTTATGGACGAAACTGCATTCTTCATTTTTTGACATCAATCCAATATTTTCAGGTAAGAGCTTATTTATACTCCTAATATTCAATAACTTTGAACCCCTATTAGTCAAAGAACATGATTTTACCTTCTTCTTACAGAATGGTGGAACAATTGTTCGACCTTCTGAAATTCGCGTATTATAGGCAAAAATTTTTAAAGTAAACAAAGAATTGAGAAAACAAGTTGGATGTTTTTGATTTAGTGATCGTAAGCAAAACTTCATCAAATCGTACACATATAGCTCATGAACTGTTAGTATTTTATTATCAGAAAAGAATTTAGTAATGGTATCAAATTTCCTTTTGAAGCAGATCATGCGAACAATTTTTCGTTGCATATTCAAAATTGGGTTTAAAAAAGAAAAACTCGTGCCGCCGTAGACGAGCAAGCCATATTGTATTATTGGCTTGATATTCGACATATAGTATTTCAGTAGGATGGATCTTGGTACATAATGTCTCATTTTTGATATTACACCACAGTGACGACCTAGTTTTGATTGAACATTCTGTATATGATGAAAAAATTTAAGCTTATCATCTACAATGACACCTAGGTATTTGCTTTCTTTATAATATAAACTTTTTTGATTTCCTCAGAGGAAGCTAGCCAAGTTAGCTGTTTAACTAAAAGAAATTACTTTTTAAACTAGGGAATGAAATCCAACGTGTTCTTGAGATAATTGAGCAACTGGATATATTCGATTTTCACCAGTCATCAACCGATTGCAACATGAAAACGCTCTTCATGGGTATATTCAAGAAGACCTCGCATCCATCACCAAGTACAAACGCCGCTGCTCGAGCCCTAAACAAAAGCAGTGACGCCTCTGATTGGCTAATTGTCAAAACTCTATGCGATTGGGCAACATCTTGTCAACGCCCGGGTTGTCATCGCGCAGCTGTTGTCGCTAATTTACTCTCTCAGTACCAACTTTGGGTCGAATCGCAAGACCCGGCTGGTGCCAAATATCCCTACATATGTCAGAAACATATAACGAAGTTCCTAGACGAGTTTGCGCCAGCATTGAACAATCCGCCAGGTCATGAGTCGAATACGTTCGAAGAGGAAAGGACTTTCGCAGCATTGGTTCTGTTAATGCACGAGCTAATAGACTCCTTGGTTTTTTCACATGACCACTATATGAGGCTACTGATATCACGAGGAGACTTGATGACTGGTGCATTGTATCAAATGTTGGACTCCTCCGATGATTTTTCGGCCGAAGATAATTCAGGTTCAACTGAGTCAGAATTGATTTCGGATTTCAAAAGCAGGAGGCATCTTCTGTACGCACTTCATTTTCCAGTTTGCAGAGAAAATAGCAATGATGTAAATCAGAGGTCAGCTAATCGAATTTTTGCTTATATTTTTGATATTTTATTTGCGTTTACTCTAAAACCTCCATAATTTAGGCCAAAAAAGCAATTTTGATGCGTGGGCTGAAAATCTTAATAGAAAATATTTTTGGGAGTGGAGATTCGCAAATTAGTAAACATTTCTGATAGTTTTTTTACGCTATCTACAATGTTCGGAACTTGCTCTGAGACAGTCTTGAAGATTTTAGGTTGATGCTTCTTTATGGGTTTGGACCGAACCGCGAAAGAGCTCTTCAGCCTCAAAACGCAGTAATGAGAGAACTCTCAGCAATTCTTACATCGCCAGCTAATAGCATGCCAATTTTATTGGACCAGGATTGTTTCAAAGAGATCCGCCAGTCATTCCTCAAGCTGTGTTTCAACGATCGACAAAATGTTGTGGCACAGTGCTTCAACCAGGTACGATTTTTACTGCTAGTTGCCGGTGTTTTCACTACCTTAAATTATGCCTAAAACATTAAAAATGGACATTGGTGGTTTTGTTCTTCTCGAACCTACGTTTTGTGCTTATGTTCGTGATGATCTGCAAAATTTCAATTAAGTTAATCAGACTCTCGCAATTGAAAACTAGATGTTTTCGCTCTGCTTTGTGCCATTCATAGTTGTTGCTTGAGTTGGTCTCATTTCATTATGACAGGTGTCTTACCAGCTAGACTGTGTAGTGGAGTTTGGTGTAGAATGTGGCACTCCGCTGCCGCCTGTGAAAGCCATTGACTTCATCATGCAGCTATCAGAGAGTGCTGCGTGTGTGTCACTCGTCCTGGATATAGCCGAAAATGTTAGTTCTTCATTATGGATCCATGTCATTCTGTAAACTACAGACTTAAATTATCCGGACGAAACGCAGACTTGAAATTTAAATAGCATTTTTCTCAAATTCTGTTTACTTTAGGTGAAAAACGATGAAAACAAAACTTACTCAGGATTTAAGCAGAATTAATATGCTGCATTTTGTTTTGCGAAATTAGGGCCAAAAAGTTAAACCCAAAACTGAATTTTTTTATTCAATCAAAAATTACGCCAAAACTACCGGGTCAATTACTGACAAAACGGTCTCAAAGTGAGCCTTTTATGTAGCACAATAAGTTTGAGGTGAAAAAATTGGTGTTTTATATAGTGAAAATGACATTTTTGTCTCTAAAACAAAAATAAATAATTTATACAGATTGTTGGAGCTCATACCCTTCTAAAAGTTTTTTTTTGTGCTAGGTAAGGGGCTCACTTTGATATATTTTTGCCAGTAATTGAATTGATAGTTTCGATGAAATTTTAATTGACTAAATTTAGACGTAATTTTGATTGACTTTGGATGATCCGTTTTTGGGGTAAGATTTTGGATCCAATTTTCGCAAATCAAATTGCACCATATCAATTCTGCTAAAGTTGTACGCAAGCGATGTCATCATCATTTTCACCTAAATTGAACCCAATTTGAGAAAAGGCATAACCAATTTCAAATTTTGGGTTTTGTACATTGTAAAAAAATGGCTGATGGACTAAATCCCCCAGGACAAAATGTCAACGGATAAAATCCCCCAGGAATGAATCCCCCATTGGACCAAATCCCCGAATTTTATTGTAGAATTTCTCACTTTGGAACTGAACAAAAATGCGACACTAAAAGTTAAATTAAATGTTGAAAGATAATTTACAGAAAAGAAATAGATAGATTTAAAGTCTAGAAACTAAAAGGACAAGTTAACGGCTATGGCTTTGAGATAATCCAACTATTTGTACTTAGTGGCAGACCATACAATTATTTTTACTTCTCAAAATTATCCTCCTTTCTTGTGTGATTTTTTGCCGAGCTCCATTTTAGAGAAACAACCGTTGCAGTGACAGCTGCCTCTAAATAGCTTTTTTGAATTTCCATATATCAGGATGGGACATTTGGAGCGTGGGTTCAGAGCCACGGCGAAATTCTTAAAGGGCATTATTTGTCCTGGGCTTGTCGGCATTGGTCCTGAAATGAACGATCCTTATATCCATGTCAAACCGAGATTTCCGTCTGGGTGATTTTCGCGTTTCTTTGCATACAAAAGTGTCCTCAAATTAGTTCTTGATGTCGTACGGGAACGTACAAATTTCGAGTGTTTGTTTTTATATCATGCTTCTACATGCAAAGGTGAGGTAAAAGCAAGAGTAGCTAAAAGACGTATAGCGAGGTTGAAATCCTTGTCTTCTCGATACTGTACAGCATGCAATTTCGAGTATAGTTCTATAAATGGCTTGCGATAAGTAACAACCGTTATTTTCTGTGTCTTGAACGTTGAAACCCACATGATTGATTCAAGCAATTTCAAAGTTCATGATAGAATTGGGGGCACAATATCTGCTTTCAATTTCGACCAGAAAGCAATATACGTTTCCTGTCGTTTATCGGGGAGAAGGGCTTAGAAACATGGAAAAGTTGTTCCATCTACGAAGCAGTTGACAGTATATAATTGTTAGAATTTATCAGGACAGCTTTTGAAGATTCCGTCGTTAAGACAGCTCCCTTAAGATTTGAAGACTTCGATGTTTTTGTTGGTTGGGAACACCAAGTATCGCTTACCGTTTCCCGGAACCGTAGCATCCTTAAGGAGAAAATCTTCTCCATTCATGGTTTGCATGTATTTTTTGACAGGAAGTCCAAAATGAAATCCTGTTGGAATTGGTGGCTGGATTCGGTTTTCGCGTCTGATCCTTCGTTTGATGCAAATCACTACCGGCACCTTTGAGGAGCATCCTGATGTGGCTTTTTCCAGGGAATTTGACAGCAACTTCTGTGTGCATGAGTGCGTGCAGGCCGATGCGTCCATTTGATCTGTCCATTCATGGCATACGTTTCGCTTAAAGCATAATTAGGTCCGCGTGTGTGCGCCTGTGGCGACGATGTGAGGAATTCGCCCTTTGAAGTCCATAGGCTTGCTTTAAACGGTTGCTTTGATCATCGCAACTGGTACTCCCATTGATTGGAATTGACTAACTCTCTTTTCTTATAATAAGTGCTTTAATTATGAATCGTTTCTGGCCCCGTTTCAGTACTCAACACAATTTTGATTTGGTTATTTTGCAGGTTAATTATTTTGAATGAGTCGGTAGTTGCACGTGTTTCACAAACTGAACAAATTTTTGCGTCAAGAGGCAAACTTATGCTAATAGGGGAGTAAATCAAATTGGTATCTCACCTGTTAAGTTAATCGGTTTGCTGGGACTACGTTTGGTGTTGATTTGTTTGTTTATCAGGCAGCATAAATGAATGTTAAGTTGGGTTTAACGTTTTTGCTACCCCCAAAATCAACACTCCGTGGTCCTAGAGGTCTGACGTTTTGACGCAATAAAAAGGGTGGCTTTTTAGGAATCGGGGACCTCCTTTCACAAATATCCGCAACCCCGCCTTATTGGAAGAGCAGGATTTTTGATTCCTGGGGGATAAATTCAACCCTTTTTATCGATAGTACAAAATGTCATTTTTGGGATTCGAACTCTTGCTGCAGAGATTAACATTTTTTCCATTCATTTTTTTACTGATTGACTTATTAACCTTTGCTCATTTTTATAGAAAGTCAACTGAAAGATGGAGTCTTAAAATTTTTGAAAAGTCACGTTAAAATGGCGATGCATGTTCAATTGGAGTTCGTTTCAAAATGGAATCAATAGAAAACTAAAATCAAATCATGTATACAACTTGATTCCAGGTTACTGAATTAAAATATTGGTTTTTTTTGTAGGTGGATTTTATCCTACGGGGGATTTTGTCTTGGGAAATTTCATCCGGGAGTATTTTGTCCGAGACCCTAAAAACACCAATTGAAAGCTTTTACAACGACAATAAATTGCCAATGACAATGAGAACACTACAAATACATAATTCAGAGTTGGAGAGCTATAAGAATTTGACAAAATAGAAATTATTTATATACAATCAGGGGTGTTTTCACAACCCTCTTCGGTCGACCGACGTTGAACAAACTTTCTAGGGCACCTTTGCGATGTACATTTTGCTGAATGTCCTGTTTCACAATAAAAATTATGATTGAATGTTTGTGCAGATGTTGACCTCGTTTCCGAGTATGGTGGCTGTGCTGCCCACGGACTACATATCCAGTCTGCTCATGACTGCAGTATCTGCCATCGAGACATTCATACCCTACATGCTCATCAACGATGAAATGTCCAACACTGTGTTCGAAAGGTAGAAGTACTAGAATTCGAATTAGATCAGATGATCATTACACAAGCTAAGCTTGTGTTATAGTATGAACTCTCTTTTTCCGACCCAATGCAAAATATCTGCGATGCAAATATTGATGCGACAAAATGTGTTCATTTTGAAATTGTTCATTTTGATCAATAACCAGCTATGAAGTACTGACAATGCTAAGGATATAAACACAGACTAGTATATTACAAATAGCACTTTAGCTTCAAGGTATCATGGATCTGTAGTGTATAGACGTAGGTAAGGATACCAGCAACAAAATAAAAGGGTTCGAACCTGGGCAGGATCGGTTGTTTTTAATGAACTTTTTCGTATACTAGTTAAATTGCGTCCGCTCTATAAATTGAGGCATGTTAGTTGGTAGATTTCTTTTTTTAAATTGACTGGTACTGCTAATGCGTCATAATTGGCTTGCATCGCGTAGAATTCATATAGACACTTAGTTTGTAGACACAAAATTTTGTAGACTCAAAGTTATACTCATTCAGTTTTTCGTTTTGCGTTATCGGTCATATTTTTGCCTGTGTACGCGAAGTACAACTTCGCCTCTGTATAATAATTTAGTTTTCAACCCAGATACTTGAAATAGTTACATGATTCAGCCTAATTAATTCTACTCGATACCATGTTATTCTATGCCACTACCCTACCTTCCAACTTATCCTAGACAATTTTCCTTGTACTTATGATGTTTAACTCGAACCATTGGAGCATCGCTTAGAAGAAATCCATATCAGCTTCAAAGAACCCTTAGTTCTGGTGAAAAAATTATGGTTGCATGTGAATAAAGTATCAGAGTAGCGTAAAACAGCTCGTTTAGAATCGAATTCATTACCTAACATGAACGAACAAATAAATTCTTATCGCTCTGATTTCGCAAGTTGAGAAGAATTAATTTTTCTAAATTTGCAAACAAAAACAAATATGCTTCAGTATATATAATTTAGCAAAGAAATATGAATGAACAAATTTTTAACTTTGAATCATGAATCTTTAAATTTCGATTTTTTTTGCGATTTAGTTTTTTTTTTCTTTTTTAAAGTTAAATAGTAGTGCAATAGTACGCGAAAATTGGTGTAACTTTTGGTGGCACCTTTACGGCTTTTTAATAGCATGTGCTTTGACAGTCCACAAGTAATAAGTTGAGACAGTCTCATCAAATGAACCGAAACATTGCTGCATTTCTAAAAACGCTGCATTTCAAAAAAAAATTGTGTGTCGCAATTTTTTGAAATGCATAATTTATACAGAATGTAGCTTTATGCTTTTTGAGTTTGTTAGCTTCAAAGATGTGGATGCCTTCAGATTAATATATTCCAAATTTTTACTGGCCTAATTGAGTCTATATGTATTTGATGCCACTTTTGCTGATCGGCATGGCAATTTGTTAGCGTATGTAGCTGCTTTATTTGAGACTTGTGTTTGTCGATTGTTAAGCATACGTGACCGAAAGGGCAGTGCCTGAGGCTCAAATCTCATGGTTGCAGGTTCGATTCTAGTTCGCAGTAAAATTTTGCTATTTTTCAGGCTTGTTTCTTTGTTCCAACTTGACTTTATTAATGTGTTTTTTTTTCGTGTTCTGGCTAGTATTTGCAAAGCGAAGCTTCCTATCTGTGCTTACGATTTTTGCTAAGCTACACAGTTTCACAGCGCATATTTTTATTGCTTTTTCAGAACAAATTTTCGGGCTTTGTGCCATGGAAGTGCAGTTCATAAAGCACTAATTTAAAGATAGATAAGCACTAATTTAAAGATAGATAAAGTTTGCAAGTTTTGATAAACTTTTTTTTTCAAGATCTCGGAAACTTGAACTTTTCAGCATCTCTTGGTACTATTGTTTTCTTAAAAAAACATTCGTTCAAAATTACATAGATATAGTAATACTTCATAAATTTATCAAGACATACATTCATACAAAAAAAGCTATTACTTTTGATCATTATCAAAAAAAATTATTGGCCACTACAAGAAGAAAATATAGTACAAACTAAATCAGATTCTTCTAGAATACTTGTGTTTCTTATGCGATGAGCGGAGCAACTTATCGCATCCTTGCTTTTTTCAAATAATTTTCCTCTATTTTAGCTCAAGCACTGTCAGTATTTTGTTTGAAGAAAACATTTTCTTGTGCTTTTGAAGTTTCGTTTCTATTAAATCACTAGGTCTAGCTTACACGAGTCTGAAAGACAGTTTGAAATCAACATAGACACTCAAGTTTTTAGAGCATGGTTGATGTCTAATATCATTTTTTGAGGGAAATATTTATACTAGAAGCACTGAATGTAGTTTAAAAATTTGCAAAAACAGACTTTTTTGTATCAAAATGAGCTTAGCTGGAGTCAACCCTTGACAAATTCTGTTTATATCTACTGAATATGTTTACGTATTGGCTTTAGCAAGCTACATTCGTATCCTTAGTAAAAAAAGGATTTACTTCCGAATGTTCGACGCTATCTAGCATATCGCTTACATACACAAAGAACGTTAGGGGTCTGGGACAGATCCTTGAGGCGCACCATGAGTTGCCGCAGCCAGTTCGAATTACTACCATTTGTATAAACACATTGTTTTCTGTTAGTCAACTAGCTACGAAACCATTCATGGGCAATCCCTTTTTTCCCTAGGGCTTCCTAGGTGTTCAAAAGAATATCTCGATTTATCTTATCAAAAGCTTTCTCCAGGTCGTGAAATATGCAACATTTCATATTGTTTTCCTCAAAAGTTATTTTTTCAGTTTGCTCTACCTTTTTAATAGAAAACCTTACAGATGTCAACAAGATGACTGTATAAACGGTCTTTAACCTTCGCTAGGCATTTAAGTAGTTATATAGGTCTGCTGGTATTTTGATCAGTTTTTGATCTTTGCTCATAAGGGCAATATTTTCGCGGACTTTAGACGCTCCGTGAAAAAACCGGTTGTGAACGAAAGGTTGGTAAGATATGTCAGGTTTGTAGCAATAGCAGGGGCCATGCTTTTTTGACTTGGTTGCTAATTTCGCCCACCTGATGACTGCTTCGGTTGTAGCAAATCAATAACTTTTACAACTTTAAACTTAGTTGCTTTATAGATAAACATGGACTTTAAATTCCGGTTTATCCCCAATTATCTTACTTAGATGCGATGCTTTTGATGTAAAATTTTCCTTAAAGCAGTTTGCAATGTGTTTTTGTCAGTTATTTTCATATTATTAGTCAACTGAAGTGGAGTTTTCATGCTTTGAGAATATTTTTTCGAATTTTGTTCAAAATTTTGAATATTCTGCCTCGGGTCTTTGGTACATTGCCTGAATTTATTAAAGAAATAAAACTTCTTGATTTTTAAATCAATTTCTCCACTTTTCGTTGTTCACTCCAGAAAGTTTGTCTTTTTTAAATATTGCGTCTATCATTTTTCCATGTTTTTCTATCACATTTCCATGTTATTTTTGATTTTTGCTATTTTTTTTCATTAATGAACCAGTAAATAGAAGTGTTTTTTGAGATTTATCTAATGATTCGAACTGTTCCAGAATGGCTGCGAAAGTATCATGGAATAGAATGAAAGCAGTATTAGCACACGATTCACTGTGGATATCTGATTTTTCTAATTTAATTTTCAAATGATTTAAAAATTCAATGACCAGATTTCGATAAATAATCTATTTAACTTCAATTGTTGTTATTCAATTTCGAGAAGAATTGCGCAGTGATTTGAAAGCGAATGACTTTTGAGAACGCGTTTATTATGCTTATTTATTTTTTTAACCTTAGAATGATCGAATGATGCAGTTTTTTTGAGTTACCCGTTTTTCTACGCTCTTCGCACCAAGATATTATAGCTGGGAGGTTAATGGATGTGCTTTAAATTGTAAAGCTCGAAAAAGCAACTCACCGAGAAGTCAAATTGTAATTAAAATTCAGAAATTCAGTAGTTCGTAGTTTTTTTTCACAAACGGAGGACCAATGCGGTGCAAGGTTGCTGGCTGAGGAAAAGAGAAAAATTATCTTGATATTGCTTTACATCAGCTAAAATATTCTTCGAAAACTGAAAGAAAGGGGAAATGCGGAAACTTACTATAATATACTCTAAAAGTGTTCGTTGTCACAAATTTAGATATCTCTTATTTTATTTTAAAAAAAAAGAATTTGTTTCCAATCGAAAACTCTCTGGTGATTTTGTTTTCGTTTTTCAGAGTTTTTTTTCAATAGGGGAATGAGTGGATAGTGCCTAAATTGCCAAATCAATACAATCAACTATTGAGGTAGAAATAGGCTTTCATGAAAATAAAGTTTTTTGCACCCCAAAAAATGAATTCCGATTTATCAATTTATTAGGTCGGAACATTCTTCTTTTTGCACATAACCTGGCTACTGTTGTTGAAGCATGATTTTGTTTGTCTGGAATAAAGCTGATAGTGACTTGTTTTCCGACACTGAAATCGAATTTTAGTGTACAAACTGCCGTCTCCTGTCTTGAAGATAACCCATCGTCTTGTTCCTCTGCCGAGAGATGTTTGCTGCATCTGCTAGAACGGCTAGTTACATCTTCCTACAAGTTAAAGCAATCTGTCCAGCCTCCGGACAAATACGACCAGATTCTCAACTCACTCAATCAGACGCCGGCTGTTCCAAAGTCCCAGGTAAACAAGATTCGGATGACTGAAGTTTGCTGCATAATATCAAATAAATGATCCTTATCAGATTCTGCAACTCGGATAATCTCCATAGTTCCTTGATTAACGGATGTGTTTCGATTTTTAACTCTGGGTATTAATTCTTTTTGAGCTATTTTTTTCTGGAAAACTTGAAAACGAAATTCTTTTGTTAAAGTTGAAAAGTTCTCACTACAATACATATTTATATCTCGTGTTTTTACTTTTTTCGTGCGAGTAATTGATGTTTACTATTCCAGGAGTCCAGACCCCAATCATCATCCGCATCCGAAGACTCCTTCATCGCCAAGAGTTTCTTAGAGAATCCTGCAGACGTGGACGAAGAGGCCATGTGTGAACTGATTGGTAGAGTTCACTCTAAAGAGAACTTCAGATCGGTGCTCATCTCTACTGCCCTGATTAAACTGTGCGATTTGAAGGACTCGGAAAAAATACAAAAGTTAGTCAATGTGTAGTGAAAAAAGATGTGAACATCTCACATTTTGTCACATCTATCAAAGGTTATGACCTTGGTGTTTTTTTTTAGTGGGTGCGTTCAATTTTGTTCATATCTGTACTATCGGTCCTAGTTTCCTTGAACTTATCTTACTTGACGGTCTATTTACACAAGCATTGCTCGTGTTAAAAATTAGAGTCCCGGATAAAATACTGGTTTTTCATATATCAACTTTGAGGGCAAACTAAATTGATCTAATTAGTCAAAAAAAATTAATTCAAAAATAACAATGAATAAGTAATAATTTGGTTAATTAGCAGTATAAAAATAGGTATTCCTTTTGAAAAATTTTTTGAAGCTTGTTATTCTGCGCTTTTGAAATGAGTGTTTTCTACGAAATCAACTTTCAAATTTATACGTGGCTAGGGGGGAGATTGTACGGCTGAGCCGAGTCCCCTTTTGTTCCAAATCGTGCATTTCGTTGCAGTTTTGTAAAAATTTATCTCAGTTTTGTAAAAATTTATCTCAGTTGCACAGTTTTGAAATATTTAGTCAATGTGAGCTATATCCGCTTAATTATCCACTAATATCCATAAGCTGCAGTGGTTCGTATTCACAACGCCAAAAATTAAAAAGCTATTCACAGCGTCGAGTTTTTTTTGTTCCAAATTACAAACATGGTTTGAATATAATTAACTGCGGCAAATTTCCGACATCACAGTCTTGTGTTCGTTCAAATTCCGGGCTCCTCTGCGATAAAACTGCTTGACCACTTCGATTTGGTAAAATTTCTGTTTTGTATTTCTCAGACATCTATTTAAAACAATCATTTTCCTTTTGTATTTCCTAGAATTGTATTTGAAACAATCATTTTGCGTTGTGATTTCGGCACTGTGAATAACTTTATAATTTTCGGCGTTGTGAGTATTCGGCGCTGTGCTGTGGGAATACACCGCTGTAGTCCGTGAAATGGAAGATAGGCTTTGATCCTCCGCTGTTGCTAGTTTTTATACAGACTTATATTTCAGATTTCACAGCTCATGGAGCTCCATTTAGCTGTTTTCAGCCGGTGCTTACGAAGTGCAGTTTTTCCTGTCAAGAAAAATGTGGACTTCAGTTTTTAATTTTAGGGCCAATGATTTATCGCTTCTGTGCGTAGAAGTCACTTCACGAGTGCCATTCTTGAAGTCTGATTGGTTCACGGCGCTCACAATCATCTGTTCGCAAAAACCTTGCGGAGTGAACAAGACACTGGACAATCTCATTAAGAAGATAAATGTAAGAAATCGAAACATCTGCTGCAAGTAAATGATACGTTTGTATTTTTAAAGCTCACGTTTTGCTTTTGAAGGTAATTTTTAAATGGAAAACTTCAATTTTAGTGGGGAAATTATTTGTTTTCTACCTGAGAAATAGCTACATCCATATCAAATCACGAATCAAAAGTCTCCCATCTGATGTAGTTCTCGATTTGAACTCTTTTTGAGCTAATCAGAGGGTTTTCAATGTCATATAATGTTTTATATGCACTTGCTTGAGCTCTTATTCAACGAAAGGAGGCTGTTATAATGTGTTGTGTGTTATATAGATAGAGCAGACTAGTGTTTACGACTGTGTGGTGGTGTTCCTCTGTCACATGGTCAGTCGCCATCTGTTCAAACTGGAGGAAGTGTTCGTCAAGCTCATTCACTTCATTCTCGCCATCCTCAACGAGAACTCAGACTCCTCCGGGCAGGGTAACGCTCCTTGTATTAGTTTTTTTGTTCCTTCACCCTTTCAATGGTCGAAACTTTTATTCGGGTGTGTTTTAGTTTTTTTAATATTTTTTTTTGTTTTCCTCGCAAATAGTCATTGAAATGGGTCGAGTGATATAAGGTATTAAAGCCCTTTCAGTATCGAGAAAACCTCGCTTAAAGTTTTTTGGTTTTTATTTCAATTTCGAGCGAGTACAGGAAACAAGCGATAAGGCTTAGTTTTTTAACCAGAAACATTTACCACGAATAACCATCGTAATGGGTGGGGTGATTATTCATATTAAAGCCCCTTTCAGTCCTGATTCAAACGACATACAAAAATTTCATAACGTTGTCCCAGAGTTGAAGAAAACCGTGTTGAAAATTTTAAGTCTAATTTCGAGCGAGTAAAGCAAGTGAGCTGGCTTATTAAAGAAGGATACGCCATGAAACTTAAGCTTACCTTCAGTAAAAAATGGAAGTTTTTAGCGCCTTTTTTCGAATTAATACTTTGATCAATTTGGCTTGTTTTTTTTCTAGGTCGGTCGAGTCGTTTAAATATTGATTTTGAGCTAATTTTTTGTACGAAAATAGAGCAATTGACTTGCAATTGGAAAATAACTTTTCCATAAAGCAATTTTTCCCTCAACGTCTAGTTATAAACTGCGTGTTTTGGTTCCACAGGTCTACGAATCGATTACTGTTTAGACTTTGTTTTGATATGCTTGGAAATTATTTTTTTTTGGAAAAAAAATTGAATAATCGATTTATCGCTTATTTTTGTCTTGCTTTCCACAGCATGGACTTTTCTTGTGATTTGAGCAATTTTTGTTCGTATGAGATTTTTTGATAAATCATTTTCATGCTTTTTTTGAAGTGCTAGATATATCCAATAAAATGGAAATTTTCGAGAAAACAAAACGATCCGAATGTATATTTTCCAGACTGTTGCTTACTTTCCTCAATTTTGATCTTGCATCTTGTATAATTTTTTTCTCAAATCTATCTTAACTAATTTTGATTCACTCGCTGTGTTAGGGTTCTAATATTGGAATCAGAAAACTTACAAAGTTTTGGTCTGTGAAAAATTTATAAATATTATCATAGTTTGACGAAAATTGGTTTTCAAGCTCAACAAAAATTGGTTTTCAAAGAAATCTTGAAAATAAAATGGCAAAGTTGAAAGGTAAGGTTATGTACCAATTTGTACATTTTCTTAACGGTATAAACTAGCGATCAGCGTATTGTATTAGTACGAACCTTCTTTTTTCTAATCCAACTAGCAAATAAAAGTGTTCATTGAAAGTGGAAACTGTTCATTTATTTGGTGCCCGTTTGCTATAATCGCAATCTAGCTTTGGAAGTTTCATAGCATCTGCTTTGTTTGTGGCTAGTGTTTGTGATGAATTCAGGTGGGTGGCTGAGTGGTTAGTGCCTGAGGCTCATAATTGCGAGGTCGCCGATCGAATCCGAGACCTAGCCAACTTTTAGCTATGTCGAGGCTTATTTCTACTCTTTTATTGCATTTTGAGGAGTTGTTTTTTGTGGTGTTTGCGAAGATTTGCCTCTGTGTTTGTATTTTGTTCTTTTTTACTTTTGATTTTGCAAGTGTGTTGCAACAGTGTAACAGATTTCTTCCCCTGTAGAGAACTTTATTCACAAATTTCAGCACGTTACATTAAATGTATGCAGTACATGTGCGTTCTGTTCTTAATCGGCGGCCATTTGATTTAACTGTGCATCCGCAAGTAGTGTTTTTCCATTGTATATTGCAATAAAAATATTTAATGAATTTTCTTTGGCATTTTTTCGTCTTCGTTGCTTTCGGTTAATTTTGCCGGCTTAGCTGCCTGTTTATGGTTGAATACATTATCCAACTTTTTACAGGCCAGCTAAATTGCTTATTTTAGTGCTATTTATGGAGGGTTGAACGCTTAGTAATTTTTTGAACGTTAACTTCATCAAATATAAAATTTTCACATTTTTTCTTGAATTTTTTTTTCTAAGTTTGTTAGCTGCAATGCTCACCTTTTTTTCAATAATTTAAAAGTCGTCTCCTCAGATAAAAAAAGTCTTTTTTATCAGAAAATTGCCTCCCTTTAGTTCACACAATCTGAATGCCTTTTCCAATGATTTTCAAAATTTTTGGTTTTTGTCCTTTGACTTTCCTTAAACCTGTGATTGTTTTTGCTTTGTGATTGTTTTTGCTGTTTCACTAGTTAGTTTATATCCGTTATTTTTTGGTCTGTTTTGAGAGCATCAAACTTTATTCGCTTTCAGTATCGAGCGTAGTGTAATAGAGTGACTCTTCTTTTTTCCTGTCTAAGTCACAAATACTTCGCCACTTTTGGTGGAATCTTTAAGTCTTTATGTCAGCATTCTGTTTCAAATAACAGTACAGCAATAAAAATTCGGTTTCAGAAAAAATTTCTAGGTCGATATATCGCGCAATTTTTTTGAGAAGAAGAAATTATAATTTGGCTCGTTGCTTTCCGATTTTTTACATTAAAAGGATGCCTTCAGTTTGTTTTATTTCAAATTAATACATGTAAAAGTGTGTCTATTTGTATTTGGTGTCTTTTTTGCTGCATCGCATTGGCAATTTATTAGCCTTTGTAGCTACTTTATGTGCGGCTATTGTTAGTAAATTGTCAAGGACCAGTGGCGCAATTGCGAGTGCAAGGGACTCCTGGTCGTAGGATCGAATCCACCACCGCAGGATATCAATTTTCTAGGCTTAGTTTTACCTTCTCTTTTTTTCACTTTATAGAGCTGTTTTTTGTCGTTTTCTGGCCAGTGTTTGCGAAACCCAGCATCGCCTTTGTGTTTGTGTGTTTGTTGTTTTTACAATTTTTGCTGGATTTTCCAGTTTATCTGAATGCATTTTCTCTGCCTGATTTTTTCGATGTTCTGCCAGTCCAGTGGTGCGAAGGTTCAATTCGCCTCTGTGTCAGAAATGCAGGAGAATTTGAAAACTCCCCAAATTATTTTAGGTGCGATAAAGTTCGATTGGTTATTTCGCTTTTTCGCAAATTTAGCGATGCGAATTTTTAACTAATCGAAATGCAGTATTTTTGAGAAATATAGAAATAAATTAAGTTGAGTAAATATTTGACCGAATATATCGCCACTTATGAGTTAATAGCGCAAAATATATCGCTTTAAACTGTGCCTAATCAATGATGTCCATTTTTAAAAATTAAACTAATGTTTTAACCATTAACCGATTAATTTTTTTTAAACCAAATCGGTTTAACCAATTTTGCTTTTATGCAGGGAAAAAAAATAAATTAAAAACACCCTCGAACTTATAGTAAAAGATGCAAGTTTTGAAAGTATTCGGCTCACGAAATTAATCGGACGTTATCAATTGAGTTGCCAAAATTGTTATTAATCGATCGATGGAGCACGACTGGGTAAAAGTTGGAGTGGCGTGGAAAAAAATTATTTCTTGGCCTTACTTAGATTCAGAATACACTCCTGAAAAACTAATATGAGACAACATTAATTGGTTAAATAAGACCTGTAGTCAACTAAATGAGTTTAACCAATTGTTTTGTTTTGGTTATTTCAGTTTAACACGCCATTTTTTTAACCATTTGGGGGCATCAGATTGGTCAGAGGTGGGCGTCCGAATCGCATCAGACTGGTTTCTCCTCCGTCTGTTTTTATTAGACCGGTTTATAATTCATTACTTGGTCTATAGTTTTCTAATTATTTATTTTTTTAGAGATCTCTTTCATGAATTACCAATTTATTTTGGTAATATTTTAGAACTTTTTCTCGAATACTTCTGTCATGGTCTAAGAAGGTCTTGTGATTTAATTTACCGCAGACATAACGCTGTTTTCATTCTCCTCTAGAATCAAGACTCGTTTTGTTTAGAACGAGAGATAGCGGCCTCCACGCGGCTATGTATGTATGTGTTGCTGAAACTACTGCATGCCAACCAAGAGTTGGACTGTCTCCGGCTGAATGTGTGTGAACATGTCTACTCCGAGCCAGATAGACTCATGCTCGCTGTCCAGATGCGACCAGTCAATGTGGGGCTCCTGGTGGCAATCCTGAAAGCATTCGCAACCCATGGTAATTTTTTTATTGCAGTTCTACCGTCGACCTTTTGCCACCTTTCGTTAATCCCAAGTAAACACATAACCTGACATTTAATAGTTGCAATTTTTGTGTCTTAGTGGGCAAATGGGGCAATTTAAAACATTTTGGTCCATACTGTTTCCGGAGTGTTACAACAAAAATTCTACTAAAAGTACAATTGTTCTTCAACGTTTCGAATAAGTGTTCTTATATCTATTTCTAAAACTGCTGAAAGCATGTCTGGCGGTGTATCGACTAGCATAAAAACTTTGAAGCTGAAAATCGTATCGTTTATTGAAATATTGAATAAAGATAAAATCATTAGGATCTTGTCAACTAGTTCCCCCTATTGGACTTTGTTAACTATCCCTTATGTATGTATTTTTGTTTGACAACGCATTTCTGTATAAAATATGCATTCCAGTTATCGGTTTGATCAGTTCGCAAAATAGTTCCAAATAAAGGACCCTTGTGCGGCTATGGGGTCAAATCCCATGGGGAAGGGGGGTGATGGTTGTAGTCCTATGAGGAGACTGATGACAATTTATGCGTTATAACATTTGGATCAAGTTAACATCCTAAACACCCGCTCCTTTTCCCGCCCCCTCCTTCCTAATAGACCAAGTTAGGATCCTCCGGATCTCTTTAACTATCCCCCCCTTTTGCAAAAGAGGGGAGATTCGTTACTAGGTATAAAAGTCTTATCTTCTTAGCGTTGAATGATTTCATTATGGTGGGGAGAGATTGTTAATAGGTACCATAGGAGGTGAGGGGGAGCAATAAGCAGAATGGCCCAAGAGCAGATAGGTCTAAGAGCAGAATAACGGGAAAATTTTGATTTCTATGGGCTAGTCTATAAGAACAACTACTTAAATTGTCAATTCCTGCTTGATAAAAACAGCTTTTATGAAAATGTATGGGATTGGGTATTTATTATTTTTTTTTTGAGACGCTTTGCAAAAATTTCTCGACCGATTTTCTCGAAAGTTACTCTACCGATTTTCAAAAAAGTGGTACCAAAAGGAAGTCCGCTGCATAATCCTGCATAATCCCCTAGCTTGTGTTGGGTATCCTGAATAATCCTGCATTATGCATAATCCCCTAGTGTGCCTGCATAATCCCCTAGCTTGTTCATGCGAAGTGCAACTTCGCTTCTGTGTAATAATTTAATTTTCAATCCAGATACTTAAAGTAGTTACATGATTCGACCTAATTCATTCTACTAGATACCATGTTATTCTATGCCATTACTCTGCTTTCCAAATAATCTTAGAAAATTTTCCTTGTGCTTATGATGTTTAACTCTAACCATTGAAGCATCCCTTAGAAGAAATCCATATCAGCTGCAAAGAACCCTTAGTTCTGGTCAAAGAATATGGCTGCATGTGAATAAAGTATCAGAGTAGCGTAAAAACAGCTTTTTAGAATCGAATTCATTCCCCAACATGAACGAACAAAAAAAACTTATCGCACTGATTTCGCAAATTGAGAAGAAGAATTTAATTTTTTTTTTGCGATTTAGTTTTTATCCTTTTTTTTTTAAAGTTGAATAGTAGTGTAATAAGGCGCAAATATTGTCACTTTTGGTCGCACCTTTACGGCTTTGTGATAGCATGTGCTTTGACATCCGATTAGTAATGGGTTGATACAGTTGATGCATTCTTAATTCATCAAATGATTCGAAAAAAGCTATTCGTTTCAAACAAGATAACAATCTTTAAAACATATTTTCTAACTCAGTATATCTCGCAATTTTTTGAAATGCATAATGTGGCGTGAATGTCTTCAGTTTTGGTTGAAGGAAGCTTATTTGCCATAGTTGATTTGTAACTAGGAGCGAAATTTATCACTCTGTACTTAAAATGGCGTGTGGGGGATGGTTTTCACAAAAAAAATCTCAAATTAAAAATGTTTCATTTTATTTTTTTCGATATATTTTTTTTTCATCTTATTACTGCTCTATAAATTGAGGCAAGTTAGTTGGTAATTTTTTTTTTCAAATTGACTGGAGCTGCTTTATCGTCATAATTTGCGGGCGTCACTTGAGAAATTTTGTAGACTCAAATTTGTACTCATTCAGTTTTTCCCAGTAGCGTTATTGGTCATGTTTTTGCTTGTGTATGCGAAATACAACTTCGCCTCTGTGTCAAAATTGTGCTAGTCGACACATTTTCATGTTTTTAAACTTTTTTGCTAGTCGAGAGGTCACCGATGTCTCTTATGTTAATTTTTTCAAGATGTAAAAATGACAGCATGTAAAAGCAATGGAAATATTGAAAATGCCTTTAGAAGATTAAGTATATACATCAGATTTTTAGATGCTGGTTTACCAGTGCATCTCGCGAGTTTGCATTTTGGAACTTGAGTTGCAGGTAGAGGTGGCATGGTACCGGTACTAGTACATTTGGTACTAGTACGGTACGCTACCAAAGTTAGGAAATAGGAAGTACTTGTACCTTGCCAACGCAGGGGTCAATTTTGACCGAGGCAGTTCAACAGTGCCGAAAATGAAAGTGTTCAACAGTGCCGAAAATTGATGATTTTCGGCACTGTTGAACAATAAATTTATTTTCACAACTGTTGTGCTGCCTTTAGAGGGGGGTTCAACAGTTAGAGGGGGTTCAACAGTGGCACTGGCTGTTGAACATTTTTTCATTTTCGGTACTGTTGAATACCCCTTTTGACCTAGTTTTGGGGGCTGGGTGGGGGGGATGTTAACTTGGTATCTTTTTCCGGTACAAGTGTGATAGAGGGGTCTCGGTAAAAAATAACAAATGTTATAGAGGGTCTAGGAGACAAGAAGCCGAAATTTAAACATTACAAGCACCTCAAAACGCTGGCTCTTTTCCAGTTCCCCCCCCCTTTCAAATTCAATTTTGAAAAGCTTATTTAACATTGTCATAATGCAATGAAATTTGGCATGGTGAACAAACTGACAACTGTGAACAGATTTGTTCTTCATACTTTACATCGTAACATCACGCATTTAGCCATAATATCACGTAAAACAAACATAAAACTCGGTATTTTAAAAGGGGGGGGGGAAACTGGAAAAGAGCCAAAACGCTAAACTTTCATCAATAAAATATTTATTTTGAAAAAATTAGGCAAATTTAGGTCATCAAAGTATTCTTCATAACAGTGCACCACTTAAGAGTGGCATCAGATAGTTAGATCAGCTGAATTTTGAATTGCATAAATTATACACATGGAAAACCTCTAAATGCGTGGAGTTAAGCTGTAAAGTATGAAGAACAAATCTGTTCAGAATTGTCGATTTGTTCACCTCGCCAAATTTCATTGCATTGTGACAACGTTAAATAGACTTTTCAAAATTGAATTTGAAAGGGGGGACTGGAAAAGAGCCAATTAGAGGCTCAAAAATTATCAAAATTCATGCAATTGAGAATTGCATCAAAATCGTTTTTCAAATTAAGCATTATTCATAACTTGTTGACAAAATGTTCAGCTTGAAGTCCCTAATTTTACATTGTTTGTTAAAATAAAAGTTACGACGCTCCTGGGTGGGCTCGAACCACCAACCTTTCGGTTAACAGCCGAACGCGCTAGCCGATTGCGCCACAAGAGCTGATATGGTGTAAATCTTTGTTATTCAAGTTTCTGTTTGTATTCACACAATGGTGCTCATTTAGTTCCAATCACCACCAATGCTGACGACGATGATTACAGAAAACCAAGTCAGTTCGAATCGATTTGGACTTCAGAGCAAGTACTGGACTTTGTCGGATCGGCCAATCTTCAAGAAGTTGCATGCGCAGTTTTGCACGCGCTGGCTTCTTGCACATGGATTACATACTCTTGCCTAAGGAATCCGGGAGTGCTTAAAGCAGATGAAATTCTGCTGGATCCAATTGGGGGCGAACGGTTGGCTTCTCATATTTTACAACTTCTTTGCTACCCTGGAAGTCCAGTGAAGGGATGCAGATATACTAAGGGCTCCTCGGTTGTGCACGTAAACTCTCCCGTCTCAGGAGCAGATGAGCAACAGGAGTTGAAGCTGAGGAGGATTTTCGAGAACCTGAACAAGTGGAATCATCGCTCCTCGTGGCTCCAGTTCACAATTATCCTGGAGCTGTGCGAGTGGAAGAAACAAATGGACTTGTTTAACCTACTGGCCAGGTATGTTATATACTTTAAGGGGTCGCTAACAGTGCCGAAGTACAACAGTGCCGAAACTGAAACTGTGTTCAATAAAGACGAATTGATGATATTTGAAGGATCAAGTTAACATCGTTCAGTTTGAAAATATTGAGGGTGAATTCCCATATGTCCCAGTTTTCGGTACTACTATGATAGAGTGGTTCCTTGAAAATAACCAGGTCCCTTGAGAATAAGACATCTAGATCTCTCAAATCGTTTCATAATTATGATTACGCCTTTCAGAAAGATGTCGCAGTATTTTTTCAAACAAATTTCATGTTTTGTTACCTCTTAAAACCTCCCCCTCACAATTTTAAGGTTGAAAATTTAAAAAAAACCGCCAATAGTGGGTTTTGATGACAAATAAGTCAACCCAATTATATGGTTGTTAAACCGTAAAATAAAGTAAAGCGAGCAAATTTCAATATATAAACAAAAATGATTACAATTTTCAATCTGAAAAGTTTCTGGCTGAACATGTTTTGCAAGATTTTTGAAATGAATAATTTATACACAAATTAGTTGTCAAAATTATAACATGCGAAATGCATGCGGGACCTGTCTATCATAGTTGCTTTTTCGAGGGATCACTCTATCATAGAAGTACCCAATTTTCATAGCACCCAAATTAAAAAGTCAGTCGCATAAGTCCCAAAAAATATCGGTTTTTTTCCAGTCCCCCTTTCAAGTTAAACGTTTTAATAATGCAATGAAATTTGGCGTGGTATACAAATCGACAACTGTGCACAGATTTGTTCTTCATACTTTACAGCGTAACATTTAAGATCATTTATCCACGAGGGATAGGACCAACATACGAGCTGTACAGCTCATCACGGCGAACCGCTGTTGTGCCCCTGCTTAAGAACTACATGCAATTTTTTTTGGTTATTTTTCTGGGCTGGGTAATGTTGCTTCACCCTCAAGCAACGAGCACGGATCATGGTGGGCCTCGAACATCCGACCTTTCGATTGAGAGGCGGAGACGTAGCCACTTCCCCACTGCTCCCCTTCACCACTGCTCCCCTTAACATAACGCATTTAGCCGTAATAACACATAAAACAAACATAAAATTCGGTATTTTGAAAGGGGACTGGAAAAGAGCCAAAATATCTTTTTGAATTCTGATTGATTAAAATTTGAGCCAACGAATTTATGGATTGATTGTTTAACGTCAAAGCAGCATAAACTCAAGCTGCTGAATAGTAATCGCCGCAGTCGCACCAACATGTTGCAAGCTTGCCAACAAAGAGTAGGACTTAGGCACTAGTTTACTTGTTTGGTCCCGTGACCAAACTAGTTAAGATGATTGGTCCCGCCTTTTTTTCCAAAAATAATAGCCATCACAGTATTTGAACCAAAGGTTTGGGGTTGGTAATCAGATTCGTACCCGCTAGACTAACTAGGCCAGTAACAACTGTAATATAGAGAAAAAAATGCTGACTGTTAAAATTAGCCACATACTGTACTTTTAGAGCCTGGTTATCTCCGCGAAGCGGCGAGGCGCGCATAGTGCGCCCACCGGCTACCTTAAACCGAAACTCGGCTAAATTAGTCTTTGAACAATTAAAAAGATTTCGAACTTATGCGACTGTTTTTGGGTCTTATGCACAAAAAGGCCGAAGTCAATTTTTCTACATCGTAAGCTGGAAATTATGCGATCAAATTTGATTGGGTAATTTTAGCCAATTAAATTCAAGTTACACGGTCAGGCATTCCGATCAACTTTTTTTTAAGCATTTTAGCAGATAACAATATTAGCCGAAAAGGTGGAACTTTGAGTCAAATTATCAAATGATTTTTGAGTCAATTGAGAAACCTTGCCCAGACAAGCAAAACTCAGTATAATGGCTTGACAAAACAAAATTCAATTTTCTTTATCATTTGGGCTAATGATTTTATCTGCTTGAAGTTTCAATTGAAATGGCAGAAAAATCGATGGAAATGTCTAATTAGCCAATCAAATTCATCCACAATAATTTCAGTTCAAGAGATGTAGAAATAATGAATTTGGGCCGTTTAGTGCATAAGACCCCTGCTTTTTACACTTGCGATCAGCTTAATGTATTATAACGAACCTTCTTTTTACTCTTGCGATCAGCTTAGTGTAATATTTTGAACCTTATTTTTTTCTAAGCTAACTCGCAGATAAAAGTGTTCTTTAAAAGAGTTCATTAAAATTTTGAGGTCACAGGGTTCGAATCTCGGAGATAGCCGAATTTTTACTAAGCTGAATTTTACTAATTCAAGGCTTATTTCTAATTTTTGCTTTTGCACTTTATAGAGCTGCTTTTTGTCGTGTTCTCGCAATTGTTTGCGAAGCCAAGCTTCGCCTCTGTGTTAAATTTGCCACCTATGGGGGTCTTTTGGGTTATAACCACCCCTAACTGGATGAATTTGGCAATTCAAATTTCGAGTTGAATTTGAAAGCGCGAAAGCCAGTGAAATAAACAGTGGAATACCACTCGCGTGCAATTAGCAGCTGCTCGATTAGGAAACAAAAATATCTGGCAACTTTATCACTAGGTTTCCTAATCAAGCAGCTGCTAATTGCATGCGAGTCGTATTTAATTGTTTAATTCACTCGCTTTCGCGCTTTCAATTTCAGCCCGAAATTTGAATTGCCAAATATATCGATTTAGGGGGTATAACCGAAAAGACCCACCTATGAGACTGATTTTTCAGTTTGGGACTGATATATACACACACCAAATAGCTATTTCCGTCCATTTCAATATAATTACTTTTCAGTAATTTGGGATCAGTAAAAGCATTATGCAAAATAGTTTTTGGCACTGTTGAACAAGTTTTGATTTTTAGCACTGCTATACGTTGGCACTGTTGTACTTTCCCGTTTGGGAAGTGGAATTTATTTTTCAGATTCCCAGCGAAATGAATATTTTTGTATTTTTTGATCCAGTTTTCGGATCTTGTTAATTATCCTCCCCCCCCCCCCACTCTATTGCAATAGGAGGGGGGGGGGAGGGAATAGTTAACAAGGTACAAAATTCGTATATGCTTCACTGTTCAATTCTTTCTTTATAGGGGGAAGATTCGTCACAAGGTACCATAGGGGGAAGGGGAATAGTTCACAAGAACCCAGTTTTCTTAAATAGCGAATCAGTTTATCAAAAAAATTCGAATCATAAAATGGTCAAGAATTTCAAAACGTTTTAAGAGCAGTAGCGGATTTAGGGGCTATGTTGGCTATGTTTTTATTTCGCACCAGGGGTAGATTTACGTGGGGGCGGACGACCCACCCGTCAGGGATTCGACCCTCTGCCGACCCAAAGGGCCCCCCTTTGCACTATAATTTTTCTAAAGGCGCCAATACATACTAACTTCGAGGGGCAAGCGCGCGCCAAAAAAATGCTATTTTTTTGTCTAAGTTTTTCAAGAAGAGCCTAAAAATGCCTTTTTCGGCCTGTATTTTCAAAATTTTGCCTACGGCGCAGAAATTTTGATTAAAACAGGGTCTTTGTAGTGCTTTGGGAGAGCTCGGAAAATCAATTTGGTCGACGTAAAAAAAAGATCGACAAATTTTTTTTTTAAAATCCTAGATCCGGCCCTTTTTCGCACCTGTAAATTGCGTCAGAACAAGGTTTGGTTTAATTTTCAGCGTTAGTATCTGGAAAAACATATATGCTCAGTAAAAAATAAGATTAAAAGGTCAAGATTGGATTGAAAGAGACAAAGTCTGGAAACATAATTTTATCCAAAACTTCGACTATAAATTTCCGTTAGATATACTCGCCTGTTTTACATGAAACTGAATTCTTTTTGAAATCAGTAGAATAAAACTTGAAGCCCGTTTGTTTAGACTGAGCATTCAAATATTTGATATCCAGCCTGTGGTTGAGCTCCGAAGTTCTCAAAGGCGAGTGCCGAAATCAGCCGCAGTTGACAAGCAACCCCAGTCGGAATCAGGGGCGAATTCCAATGCTGGAGATAACTCCGCCCCCTCTAACTCAAGGGATCCGGAGCAGGCTTGGCTAGTAGCACCTCTTATAGGCCAGTTACCGGCTGCAGTACAGGGAGCAGTGCTTAACCAAGCTAGCTCGATGCTGGATCGAGGTGGAGTCCTCGGGGGCCTTGGTCAAAACCTCGCGGGTTCCGGAATTTTCAGCGGAGGTTTGGGATCCTCGAGCAAGCCACGATCAGATAAGGAGAAAACGGCACAAAAAAGCATCCAATTATTAAGCCATGGGCCCTTTTTGTCGCTGATTCTGACCTGTTTAAAAGGCCAGGACGATCAGAGGGAAAGTCTTCTGTCCTCTCTGCAGACACAGTTTTCTCAGATGATTAAGGAGCAGCAGCATATAATCTCGATGACTTCGAATAACAACGTATCCTCAAATAGCGGCCTGTCATTGGAGGAAATCCAAGCCAATAGAATGAAGATGTTTAATGACGAGTGGCAATTGAGGTTGAGTCTTCTGGGATCGATGTTCGACTCCATTCTTCGCAATCAGTCTCTGTCAATGGAATGGATTATGACTCTGGTTAACTTACTAGAGAAGGATATAATTAACCCAGTGGACAATGCGCAACTGTTCTATACTGTGGTGGATATGCTGATTGTTCTGATGGAGTTCAACAGTGCGGATCATCCCAGTGCAGATGAGCAGGCGAAGAAAATGTACAATTCTATTGTCAAGAAAATCAGAGTACGTCAAACAGATAAGCTGAAAATGGCATTACAAGCTAAAAATATGTCTTAATTATAAGAGCATGACAGCAATCATCACAAAAAACCTGAACAGCTAGTATTATTGGCAGCAATTTTATGGATCATCCTTCAATATGTTCATTCATAGCTTCAGATCTTTTTTTTGATCATCTGGATCTCTTTATCTAAGATTCGGATTTCTTTGTTCATTTTATCGATCATTCTTCAATATGTTCATTTAAAAATTCGGATCCCTATGGTACCCTGCAACGATTTTCCACCCTTATAAAGATCTAATTCAACGGTTTTGGTGAATTTTTGCACTTAGTAACGAGAAAGTTTGCAAAAGGGGCGTGGAAATAGTTAGAAAGTTCCAAAGATTATAATTCTGTGCTAGAGTGATTGATTGCATTGCGTGTCTAGGCTTGGAAAAATAGGTTTAGCCAGATTATCTAACCGGATGCTTTCACAGAACAGCATAGGCGAGAAACAGAATGAAGGTCTGCGTCTGGTGCGACAATTGCTGCCTCTTCAGAGGAGCACAGTTGATGTGGTGTGCTGTGAGCCCATTCGAAGCCAGTACGACAGCAAAGGCAACAAGATGGACGCGCTCTCTTCACAGACTAGACACCAGGTTAGTCATGCCCAAGGTCATACTCTTCTAAACCTGCATGAAGTTCTAATGACGCGCTCTCAGGCTGAGATTTTGTGATTCATTCACGAAGTATTGACGTCATAGAAAAGCCTGAAAACGGAAAATAATTATTTAGACAGGTTTTACCTTTGCATTTAAGTATGGTATCGGAAGAAAACTGTCCTTATCTTGAGTTTTCTTGGAAATTTGGCATTGAAAAAGAAAGTTGCAGTTTTTCTGCGAGTTTCCCACGCTTTACTGATCTATTCGAGTAAATGAATTTTGTTGAGTATTATCGTGATCTGAGACATCGAAAATCGTATGTTAGTAATCATTTTGCGCATTTTTTTTCTATTAATTTAGTGCTTAAAGACGTTTTTTGAATAGTTTCTAAAAAAAAATAAGTCCTATATTGGACATTGCTATTGATGGTCTATCTTGGTTGTGTTCAGGGAAATCAAGTGGTGGGTAAGCAGCGTCTCTCTCCTTGGGACTTAATTGAAGGCTTCAAGATGCACGCTCCTCTACAGCTAAACTGGTTCAATGCAGTCAAAATGGAGAAGGGCAGAGGCAGTGTGTACGAAGAGCAGGCGCGTACCATGTTTTACCACGACCACTCGCCCCTGGATAGGACTCAGTCGTACTTCATGCAGCCCATAGTATCATCCCACTCGGCTCCTGGATCGACGGGAGGGGCTGGACTCAGTGATGAAGATGAAGTTCAAATGGAACCCCCGCCTAGTGTATCAGTTCCGACTCCAACTTCTGCTGCACCCAAAACTGTAATTAAACTTCTGTATAACCCAGTGAATCTTAGCTAAAGAGCTTATAATTAAAAGATAAAAAGAAACCTGATTCATTTTTTTTACAGCCGGCGGTTAATAATTATTTGTAATAAAACAGTCGGATTTTTAGAAGTCGAGGAGTCACAAGTCCAACTCATCTGGAGGAACCAAAAAGCAGACGAAGTCACGCAAGAAAAGCTCGCAGGCTCAGTCGCAGAACAACCAGTTGTCATCCGGGCCCCAGTCTGTGTTGGCTCCTAACATGCCCCCACCCACGCCTCTGGCACAGCAGCTGTCCCAATCGTACCCTGGCAGTGTACTTGGTCAACAGGTATTAAAATGGTTTCGCAGTTGATTTTTGGTACTGATTGCTCATTTTGGCAAACGGAGAGCGAATTGAAATGAACCGTTTCCCACCATAATGCGCTCTTTGCTTGAATACAGTGATATTTTGCAGCCCGGAAAAATCAAAAATACATTTAAGTCTTATTCAGGGAGAAAATGCATGGCTCGAATTCAGCGTATGTTCGCTCAAACGAAAGTATCTAATTGCTCACAAATTACAGGTAGGAGCAGCAATGCAGAACCCGCATTCAGTAGTACAGCAGCAGCCGACTAATAGATTTCCCCCTCCGCACAATGCTGCTGCCCAGGCCGGAGGTGGTGGGGCTGGAGGAATGATGGTCCAGAATGTGGGCAGCCAGCCACCAAGTCAAGTGCAGCCACAAGTGTACTTCCAGCAGCCGCAACAACAACCTCAGTCACAAACCATGAGCAATATGGGTTAGTAATTCTATTTAATTTGTCACCAGTAGCTCATTTGAGCTCATACGTCAAGCACTTGAGCTTGAGTTGTTTGTTTCTTATTGCGGACAGAAGTTTTCTCATAATCTGGTAAGAGGCTTTTCATGTAAAGTTGTAAAACTGGACGATGTGGCATTGAAAGTTTCTAAGCCGAGAACAGATGCTATGCAATTTTCAATGCTACATAGAAACTTTCAAATAAGTGAACCTTTTTAATCAACATTTTATTTGCGAGTTCTCGAACCGCTAGTGTAAAATTTACGTTGTTTTAAGTTTAAACCCTCTGAGAATCTTCTTAGATTGACATTAACTGCTATTCTCATTAGTAAAAAATGAGAATGTGGCATTTGAAAGTTTCTAAGACAATAAAATTAAATTGTCTTAAAATAGCACAAAAAACACGTTCGCTGTCCAACAAGCAAAATTAAAAGAGACACCTCGCTTTCGCAAGGCACTTCGGACAAAACAAGAGAATTAAATGTTTTTGTTTTTAAATCAGGCTTTTATAAGTGCCTTGCGAAAGCGAGGTGTCTCTTTTAATTTTGCTTGTTGGACAGCGAACGTTTTTTTTTGTGCTATTTTAAGACAATTTAATTTTATTGCTTAAGTTTTTATTGATAGTTAAAGAGGTAGTTGATATAGTTTAAGAGATAGTTGATACAATTTTGCCATTCTAGCCATGACAAACCAAGCTCAACTGTCCATGCAGCAGATGTCTCTCGGTCAACAGGGTGGAACACAGCAGTTGATGGCGCCTCCCCCGCAACAACAGGCTACCCCCAGGCAACAACTGACAAAGCACCTGAAGAATAAAAACCAACAGCAGGCGGGTGTGGCGGCTGTGATGCGAGCACAGAACCCACAGGGGGTGGTGCCTGGCGGAGGAGGTCCAGTCATGCCTGGAGGAGCAACTGGCCCAAGCAGGATGGCAGTTCCCCAGCAGATGTACAGACAAGGGTAGGTGAAGCCAATATATTTTAGTTTTGAGGGGTAGCGCGCGCTGAACAAACCTAAGGCTTTTTGGCCGGTGTTAATGATAATGTAAGAGAGCTCGGAAATCAAATCAATTTGGTCGACCTAAAAAACCGCCAGTTTTTAGATTTTTTGAAATTCCGCAATCCCCTTCACCAAAATTGTAGATCCAGCTTAGTTGAACTGATTCTAGATACTAGTTTACTAGTTTTTATTGAACAGAAAACCGTAGGAAACAAGAGAATTTGGTGCAGTTTTTTTACTAATGAGAATAGCAGTTAATGTCAATCTAAGAAGATTCTCAGAGGGTTTAAAGTTAAAACAACGTAAATTTTACGCTAAGCGGTTCGAGAACTCGCAAATAAAATGTTGATTAAAAAGGTTCACTTATTTGAAAGTTTCTATGTAGCATTGAAAATTGCATAGCATCTGTTCTCGGCTTTATTTGTGGCTAGTGTTTAATCTCCTATCTTCTATATACTCTAAGCTTCCGTGGTTAGTTAGTGTCTCTTAGTCTCAATGTCGCAGATTCGAATATCAGCCGTAGTCGAAATTTTGCTAATTCGAGGTTTCTTTCTACTTTTTTTATTGGGCTGCTTCTTGTGTTTTCGCTAGTTATTGCAAAGCAAAATTTCGCCACTGTGTTTTATTTAGTGTCGTATTCAGCCAAGATTTGGTCTTTAGGTTTGCTGGCGGGGACAGTCAGGTAGGCTTTGTTGGACAGACAGGCAAGCCCCCTGGCCCCGGCCCCTCGATGATGTCCGGTGCACCAACTGGAAGTCAAAGTCAGCAGCAGATGGTGTATGCTGTTCAACCACAGAATCAAGTGATGTCTCAACAGGCCCAACATAATCAACCATCAGGGGGTCAGTTTGTAGGACCACCACAAGGAGTTCAGAATTATACCAGATTCAACTCACAGGTAACTATCAAATAAACTATTTCAGCTTCGTTTCCCTTGACTGTTAGTTCAGTTAAACTGCAAGCGAGAATTGTGGAATCTTATCAACTTTTCTTTTTCCAACCTAGCCCGCAAATAAAGTGTTCTTTTGATGGCACGTTTGCTTCAATGCATATCATCGACAATTTAATAGCATCTCTAGATGCTTTATTGGTGTCATGCGTTAGTTAATTGCTGACATACCGCGGCGCAGATGCGAGGGCGTGAGGCTCGTAATCTCCAGGTCGGGGATTCAATTTGGCACAAGACAAGTGTTTTTTACTTTCTTTTTTACACATGTGAGCTTTAGCGAGCGTAGTGTAATACAGTGCTGATTTAAATTAACCGGACAAAACGAGCTAAGCTTGAAATTTAAAACGCGTTTTTCTCAAATTGGGTTGAGTTTAGGTGAAAACTTATGAAGACAAAACTTTCTTGAAATTTTAGCAGAATTAATATGTTGTAATTTGTTTTGCGAAAATCGGGCCCAAAATTTTACCCCAAAAATGTGTCATTTTGGCTTTTCTTAGTTAATCAAAAATTACGCCGAAAATACCCAGTCGATCACAGACTTATTTATATCAAAGTGAGTCCCTTACATAGCCCAACAAACTTTATGAACAGTATTTTCTCCAAAAAAATTTGCAAATTGTTTTAAAATTGTTTTTAAATAAAAAGTTGGTACTTTATATAGTAAAAACGACCTTTTTTGTCTATCAAGCAAAAATAAATTATTTTATACAATGTTTTGGAGAATATACCCTTCCTAAAGTTTGTTGGGCTACGTAAGGGGCTAACTTTGATATAATTATGTCTGAGATCGACTGGGTATTTTTGGCGTAATTTTCTATTAACTAAGAAAAGCCAAAATGTCCCATTTTTGGGATAAAATTTTGGGCCCGAATTTCGCAAAACAAATTACACCATATTTATTCTGCTAAATTTTTAAACAAGTTTTGTCTTCATAAGCTTTCACCAAAACGAAGCCCAATTTGAGAAAAAAGCGTTTTAAGTTTCAAGTTTAATGCTTTCGTGCGGTTAATTTAAATCAGCACTGTAGTACGACTTTTCGTTTTTGCAAGCTGTGTCGCAAATATTGGTGCAGCTTTTGGTGGCATCTTTAACAGCTTTTTGATAGCATGTGCTTTGAAATTCTGTTAGTGCAAAGTTAACACAGTTGATGCATTTTTCATTCATCAAATGAACCGAAAGAAACTATTTGTTTCAAACAATAGTAAAAACTGGATTTCAGAAATTTTCCAATTTGATATATCTCGCAATATTTTTGAAATGTTTAATTTATACATAATATATGCTTTCCAATTTATTACATGCGAAGTTAGTGTGGATGCCTTCAGTTTGTTATATTCCAAATTATTACATTTATTGAGTCTGTTTTGTCTGTTTGTATTGAGTGATTGTTTTGGTGCTTCGCATTGGCAATTTATTAGCGGCTCTTTTCCAGTTTCCCACTCCCTCGTACAATATTTCAAAAATTGTTCACATCGCGTTTTACATGTAATAATTGTTGAAGAAAATTGTTCATCTAATCACGCTGACTCATTCTAATTTTCCTTATATGACTTCCTTATAATGAGTTTTAGAAAAAATCGAAGGGGGCGAACTGGAAAAGAGCCTTTTTAGCATATGTAGCTGCTTTATTTGTGGCTAGGTTCAGAAAATTGTTAAGGGCTTGTGGCCATATGATCGAATGCATCGTAGCAAAATTTTTATTTTTCACGGTTTATTTTTACCATTTACAGTTTTTCTTATTTAATTTTATTGAGCTACTTTTTGCTGTTTTCTCGCTTGTTTGCGAATTGCAGCTTCGTCGCTGTGTTATTTGTGGTACCTGAAACAAAAACAAAATTTACACGAAGACACACTTCTTCGCTGCTTCGTCGGAACAAAAGCTGACAATTGATAGTCCGATAATTAAGTTTGCCAATCGGCTTGCGTAGAGAAATGATTTTTTTAGAAAGGGAAATTCACAATCTAGACAAGCTCAAAATTCTTTTCTAACCGAGAAAAGTAGGGAATAAGAACTGTCAGCTAACAGAAAAAAAACGAATAAACGATGTGAGTTTTCATGCTTGCAGGCTGCGTAGATTTTTTCGTTTATTTCTGGAAAACAGAAAACTGATTTTTTTCTTAAACGTTCAGTTTTCTCAAATAATTTTAGGATTCAAATATAACTTGAGATTTTTCATTTTGCAGCAACAAATGCAATTAATGCTCCAACAGCAGCAGAGACAACGTGCAATGCAGCTCCACCAACAACAGCAGCAGCAACAGGGGGGACAATTTGGGAACCAGCCTCAGTATCATTCGGGAGATCAGCAACAGACTGGAGGAACTTTCATGCGGGGACCTCCACCTTACAATTGACGCGGCATTTAACGCTTGTCGAAGCCAAAATATTGAGAATGCGTGAAGTTTCAAAAAATTTTCACTCAATTTTCAATATTTGTGCTTGCATAGACTTCAAAATGACAAAATGTATTCCGAATCAAAAACTCATAATTACATAAACATTGATGGTAACGAATTTGATATTCTTATATTTGTAGATGTTTCAGTAGTAATATTGTTTTAATTTTATGTCTTAGATTTTTGATGTAGTTGAGTTTTAAAAGTTGTACGGATAAAATTGTGCAAAATGTTCAAGCCTACTATTTAAATAATAGTTAATAGTTGGGTTCTTAGAAAATGCATAGGTCCTGCATAGCAAAACATAGGTCCTGCGGCGTGCCAAATTTAACAAGTGAAGCCAGTGTTTTGATTTTTGGTTGTAAATGAGATGCGATTGAATTTCACGACAAACTGCAAAAATGAAGTACATGTAGCTTAACTAACCGTAAAACTGCAGATGAATAAGATCTCTACGAGCCATTCAACCATGTTGGGGTGACTTTAGGATGGCGCTTCGAACAAGGGATTTGACTCCTCATCACTCAAAGGTTTCCACCTTTGGTATTAATAAGTGTAATGAATATAGTGAAGTCTCTTTAGGTCTTGGTGATTTTTTTCAAGAAAGTCTTAAAATGCTCTAATAACTACAGATGTGCATTCATACATATAAATGCATTTATGAATGCACTTAGGTATATATGCGCTTTAAGAGTTCAATTAAAACTTATCTGCTGAAAGTTACGTATATAGAACTCTCGAAATACGAACGTCGGAATGGCGGGAAAAAAACGTGACGATTTCTAGCTCCGAAAGTGAAATGTAATTTTTAGTTTTCCAGCGGGATAAAAACTTTACCTATTGATCCAATTTTCTCAAGTTGGGTTAATGTTATCAAAAAAGCGCCATCATGAATTGTTCTAGAAATTCAAAGAGCTTAAAGGACATCTATTTTTTTTTGAAATCCGAAAATTGAGTTTTTTTTAACGCATTAGTGTTCTTTTTGTTTACTTGCATTCATTTCTCTTTTCCAACTGTCTGTTGGCTATGTTTTCATGACATCCTTTTTCGATCGACATATATTAAAATTTTGGCATAATTTGTTAAAACAATCTTTATACTGTTCTTGAGAGTGTTCGGAAAATGAATTTGGTCACGAAAACAAAAAAGGTTGAGAAATTCTTAGATCTTCCCCTGTAAACCAAAAATGGAATAATTCAGACCATTTTTTTGGGAAATGTGGAGATTTGTCGGTTTTTTGGAGTTCAAGCCACAAAGTTTTGACTTAATTATGACATCGCAGTTGAAGTGGTGGAAACATTTGTGGGGGGGGGGGGGGGGGGGGAGGGGTGAATAAAATTGAGAATTTAAGAAACTCAAATGAAATATTGAATATTATTATCAATCAACATCAAACATGAAAGTAACACAGTGCCATTTTTTTTGAAACACTGCCCTTTTCCCTCTAAAAAACGCACACGCCACTTTATCCCTCAACACTTTCTAATCCAACTATTGGGTATTGAAAGTGAAAATGATGAATCGACAAAAACGCGTTATACGGCTTGCAGGAATTTCATGTGGAGGAACAGTGTTATCTTTACAGAATCGACGAAAGAAAGGAATGGAGCTTCGTAACGCACGAAGATAGTGTTTCTAAGCTAGGTAATATAGTACTAGATTATATTTCGTTGAAGTTATTACGCTTGCGATTAGCAAGCCTTTACAGATCGGAATATACTTTTTTCGGGTTAACAACCTGTATAACAGAATCACTTAGTACCTTGGTTCAGAATGAACTCAAATTTCCAAGCTTTTCGGCGCACTTAGTCTGGAGATAACGAATATGCATGGGACAGCAAAAACCCTGAGTACGAATCTGACCAGGACTTGTTTTTTTTTCTCAAACATAAATACTCCGTTTCATAAAAATTATCGGCTAATTATTTGTCTGCTTATTTTACGTCGGCTTAGTTGCCACAAAGAAATTTTTTTTGCTGCGTGCAGTTTTCATCGCAGTTTTTTCATGTTTTCATTTACTCCTGAAAATTGTAATTCTACAAGCTTTGATGTGCTTTTTCCTGACCTTGTTTTTAATATCTGGAAAAATTTTCGTCTTAAATGATTTCGGCTTTTATTTTATCAATTTACTAACTTGATTTTGGTCGTTCGAAGGAACCATAAATTGTATGCCTTCCTCTGGATTGCACAAAGGTCAAAAATTTCAGAAAAGAATTCATAGTTCATTTTTTTATAACATGTTTTGAAGGTTTCGAATTTTTTTTAAACGCCGTCGAGTGTCTTCTGGACATCATTCCAGACAACAGTTCAAGGTTTTCTACTTGAAGTTCATTCGAAAATGTTTCCGTTTTATTTGGACTTAGTTGATTCCTTTCCTATCTGCAAGCTGGCAATGCTATTTCTGTGGTATCGCAAGTGACAAGTGATGCGAAGCTCCGCTTCGCCTTTGAGTGTGTATATGTTTTTGTAATCCTTTTATGCTTTTGTAATCCAATCAGTCTCCGGTAAGACCAAGAATTTTTTTTCCAAAGTTAGAAGTTTTGCTTCGGGAAATAACATCATAGAGTTTCCACATAACACAACACGCCTTGGAGAAATTAATTACGCCTTTGATGCAGTTGCAAATACCAGCCCAAAAAGTCTGTAACGAATGATTTATTGAACTGATTTCCACTCTTAACTTCCACGCGTTCCACGCTGAACTCGGGTTGACCAAGTGTATGGAAAATTGCGCATCACTTATTTTCCATATGTGGAAACTGTATACTAATCCTTTTTTTCGATAAGCATTTCTGATCATCAAAACTTCCAAAAAGCAAAGAGTGAACTTGGAAAATGGCAGACAAAACTGAACTATGACTGAACTTAGAAACATCTGATAGCAAAAAATTTAAGAATTTTCGGGAAAAATGCTATCATATAACTCCCATATATGGAAATTGTATGATTGGCATGCATTTTTTGATGGCTACAACCAAAAGTTTTTTCAGCATTACGAGACCAAACTGTATTTTGTGAATTGTGAGCGGATTCTGCAACAAGGACGCCTCATTGTTCTTGTTTTTTTTTCAACCTCATTAATTGTTCCGACAAAGTTTTTACAAGTTTTAAAACTTGTCTTGGGATTCCAGAGACCTACACACACCAATATAGGCTTCTATCCAGTGCCTAGTACTCGTATTGAGTTATTTCGAAAAACCCTCAAGCAAATTAATTTCTTTCAGCCGCAAAACGGTTTTTGTACTCGAACAAACCTTTTCCATTTTTTTCGCATGCAAATTTTTGTTTTAAGTGTGCAAAACGTAAATCTGC